CCATCAGCATCAACTGTGGCAGCCTGTCATTACCAAACTTTTCAAGACAAAATGTGTTTCTGGGATATCATCCTCATTCATAGAGGCAGTTTTCATGTGTACAGAACAAAGGAAAGCAAGTATCATCCCTGCTCTCAGTGTAATGAGTATGTATTCCATCTGCTGCTAACAGCATTTATGCAAAAATAGAATAATTCACAAGTTATACCAGAACATAAAAGGCAATACAGACACAGTTGAAAGAAATAGTTTCTAGTGAATGTATTATTAATCCAGGCATTTGTATGTGGGTGGAAGCTTGTAAAGATTGACTCATTAGAATTGTATTTTCAGAAAGTTTTGGGATGTGGGTAAAAGGACAGAAGGGGAATGACTTCTTCACTGTTTTTGTGGTTTGTAAGAGTTAATTGGTCTCTCCACTGAGAATGCCTACCCCTTTTGCCCTTATAAGAATTTTAACCTTCCTTTGAAATTTGTTTTGTATGCTAGTTACTTTAAGGTTTCTTGATACCTCTGTCTGAGTCACTCCCATTCCTTATACTTACCTCCAGTTCATAACAAGCATAACTCCTCCATTATTTATGCCTTCAAAGAATATTCTGTAGGTCTTTATAACATTTATTAAATTATATTATGTTTATGTACTTTTCTGTCATCTCTACCTTCTTGATGGCTTGGAGATGATTTATTTATCCTAAAAGAGAGCTCAGCAAGTGTTTGTCGAATGAATGTTTTACTAGATACATGCTATGTCTTTTATTTAGGGAGATTCATAAATGAATGAAAATCTCTCTCTTCAAGGAAAATGGATGGGGGGGGTTGTGTGTATAAAAATCCCACTTATTTCTGAGATTTGCTTGGGTTAATGTAAACTAATTCATTGTATACTTATGTGCATATATCTGGATTAAAAAAATCACTAAAACTCTCTTTCATTTAATGGGAATGGGAAGGTTTCTAGTTTTTATTTAAATGATATTTGAAAATTTTACAAGTCTCGGTGATGCTGTCATAACAACAAGCTTAATTCTATTCACAAAATTGTGTTCTTCTTTTGTCTCTGGCATTTTTACTGTTTTTTAACTTTGTTGACCAGTGTTTCTTCATTGTTTTTCCTATTAATATCTCTTGAAGTGTTACTACATGCTACATCCAGTGTTGATTGTGTGGAAGGTGCAGAGAGTAGTCCCACAAGGTCCCTGCCCTGAAGAGTTTGCAACTGGTTGTGGAGGCAGCTGTGTATTTGAATTGAAGGATAAATATGTTACTTTCTGTTGATCCTCTTCAAAAGCAAGGAGGCAGAGTTGCATGGTTATCAGTTTTCAAAGGAGACTTAGCTACCATGCCCTAATTGTGGGGAAAATACTTGGGGTTAGAGGGAAGTCTGAATAGGAATAAGGGGAGTGATGGCATTGCCTTAATGGCAAGATCAGCCTGGAATTTGGGTGAGTGAAAGTGAACATAGGAGGGAGAAAGTTTGAGAAGGGGGAGGATAAGAGTTCAGGGTCCAGGGGTACATCTTTTTTTTTTTTTTTTTAAAGATTTCATTTATTTATTTGACAGAGAGAGAGACCGCGAGAAAGGGAACACAAGCAGGGGGAGGGTCAGAGGGAGAAGCAGGCTTCCCGCTGAGCAGGGAGCCCAATGCGGGGCTCGATCCCAGGACCCCGGGATCATGACCTGACTGAAGGCAGTCGCTTAACCACTGAGCCACCCAGGTGCCCTTCCAGGGGTACATCTTAAATTTGCCTGCAGGGAAAGGTCAGGTATGGTGAATTTATTCTGTTTACCCTCAGTAAGGTTTATACTGTTTACTTGGAAGTAGATTAGGGAAGGAGCAAAGACCTAGGCTCTGAACTTGGCCTGGCTATGACATTTTTCTATAATTGCCCGTCTGGTTACTGATTTACAAAGCTGGCTGGGTGTGTGATTGTTTTCCAGCTTGTAGTAGAGTCATGCTGTGAAGAATACAGAGGCACATCTTGAAGGGAACTAAAGTGGATGCAGAAGAAACTGGATTAAACACATAATACTTGGTATAAATGAGATTATATATTTGGAAGTTCTTAGTAAACTGAAGTGCTAAGTCAGTGTATTGACAGTACAACTCTATGTATGAGTGTGTGCACTTCCTTGTAGTCATTGAAGATCTTCTAGATTCTCTTCTAACTCAAGCCCTAACCCAAATATGCTCTAAGAAGATTTAGGATCAAATCACAATAATTGAATATAATTTGTTCTTGTTTAAATATTAAGAAATCATTGAGAAGAGTCATTGTTACCATAGCCAGTAATTCATAAACTCCTTGCACCTGTTATGATATGTTAATGTGTCTCCATGTTTATGATTTAGCAATATATGCTGTTGATGGAATTAAAGATGTCGATTTTTAAAAAGTTTGTATTTAATTACAGAATTTAAAATGTAATATATAAAATATTACAAAAAGCAAAAGAAATACAGAAACCCACAAACCTATTGGTCAAATTTAATAGATGTTACTATTTGCCTTAATTGCTTTAGTCTTCTCTATTTTGTTCGTAAAGCAATAGAACTTCATCTGATACAGCAGAGACACTCCTGCCCTTTGTCTCTCTCTGTAGGTGAACACAATTCTAAATTCAGTTTGTTTCAGTGTTGTATATTAAAAACATATTTTTATTACAGGTGTTTATAGCCATAAACATTGTGTTTTTAATGTTGCACTGACTAAAAGAAAAAGATATTAAATATTGCAGTTCTTCACATGGTTATCCACATGGAAAACTGCAATAATTTTATAGGTTTTTAATTTTATTCAGCATGACATTAAAAATATATAAAATATATTGTTTGACATAACTTTCTGCCCTGATAACATAAATTGAAGTGGCTTTTAAGTTTTTTTGACTGTAACCTACAGGATGATTTATGTTTTATATTGTGGCCTAATACACATCATATATATGTATATATACCTGTGTGTGTGTGTACATGTGTGTGTATGTGTGTAAAACTGAAAAAGTTTCTCCACATACTATCGTTTCCTCCACTGTGTATGTTATACTCTATTCTCTGGCCTATTCATTTGTAAATGCTTGTTCTAGTCTTAGTAAATTGATTTTATGACCTAATAATAGGTTGCCATCCATGAATTGGAAAATATTAATCTCAAGAATCAATCTAATCTTAATCTAAAACTAATACTGACTTTAGTATACAGACATAAACTTTCATAGTACAATAAAAGCACTTCAGATAATAAGGCAGCATATTAAAATAGCATTCTTTTGCACAAGATTTGATTACATCCATTTTGGTTAATTGATTCTGAATATTTGTTTTCTGGGAACTAAATCCTACATGTCTTAGCCATTTAATCAATTACTATTAATTAGCTAAGCATTTGGTCAGTATTGGATGTCTCCTCTGGTCTTTCCCAGCCTCCTGGTCTGCCTGAAGTCCGGGAGAGCTTTCACGGTGTCAGGAAAGGAAAGAGCTCTTTCGGGCTCAGGCACTGACTTCTCGCCTTGTCACTAACAAACTGCATACAACCTTAGTAAGTCCTTGGTTCCTTCGGGCCCTCATTTTCCTCACCGAGTAATCGAAAGGGTTAACTAGCTCATTTTTGAAAGCACTTTCATTCTCTGAAATACAGACTAGGATCTGGGACACAGTTGTTAGAATTTGCTGAGAATATATCTGATGTTAAAGAATAGGACTTTCTACTGGAATTACTAGTTTCACAGTTGCATTGGAACAAGGGGTAAACAGGTCATATATAGTTTAAATGGTTCTTGGGCAGAAATGATTCGTAAAACCATTTTGGAGTAACCTTAATGTCCAAGATCTACCTACTTTTTTATTGCATTATTTCTCAGGTACAGGGCTACATGAATGTATAATGTCAGCATATGTAAGTGCTAAGAATGGCAAAGATGTGCTTCTTTATTCCATGTTAGTTAAATGTCCTCATAGGCAAATCCAGAGCTGCAGAAAGAAATCTATAACCTCTGGTATTCCTATGGTACAGTTTTCTGAGTCCTACCTATTGTAGTAGTTTATGGCTTTGAGGAATTTTCCTTTTTTAATGTGAGTTACATGTTTGGAATAGAGTAAGAAGGTATCACCTAAACTACATGTCCTTAAGACAAACAAATAAAAAGCAAATTTCATGATACGAGTCCTTCGTAAGTATTGTTTTATGTATATGCTTGTGTTAAGAAACAGGGGTTTTGGGGTAGAGTGGACCTTGGAGACCATCTCTTCCCATTTGCTTCTAAAAAGATAGGCCAATGAGTGCTCCTGCCTGGATCTCCAAATCGAGGCAACATTAGGGGCAGGTTTCTGTATCCCCTAAGGTTCCTATTTTCTTTTGGTATACAGATTCATTTTAGGGAGCTCTACATTTAGAGAGACCTAGGGAGCCAGTTCTAACTCATGTCTGAGGGTGTGGACCCATTAAAGAATGTGATTATCCTTGAGGTAGAGATCTGTTCCTAGTCCCAAGGGACTAATAAAGGGGTGTTTTTCCTTAGGGACACCAGGCTAGATGTCAGTCTCTGGGAGAGGATCCCCTCAACCCTAGATGACTGAGGCAAAGGCTAGATTTCTCTTAACTCCTCTGACAATGCGAGAACTCAGTTTTCTCTCAGCTGCAGTATGCAGAACGTTCTTGTCTCTTGAGTTATGGCAGCAGTTCTTGCCCTCTCTTAATAGGTGTGGATTAGAATTTCTGTACCTCTGGGTTCTGATTCTATGGTTAATATAGTTAGGCCAGGGACCAGAGCTAACCGTTATTTTGTGACACCCTGTGCTTGGCACTGAGCAGGTACTATGTGGATTTTTGTGAATGAAGACTTAATACTAACTAGTCACTGTTTTGCATTGCATGTTATAAAGTTGATCATCCTAAAATACTTGAATTTATTTTTGAAGTAAACACAATTCTTTTTTTAACATATATTAAAATATCACCGATGAGTCTTCTTGTTTGCTTTTCTTCCTTCATCCTCTGCAGTGTGCCGAGATTTTGCTGTCTTAGAGGACCACACCCTGGCCCACAGCCTACAGGAACAAGAGAGTGAGTAATGGCCCTCATTATGTTCCTTCTGTTTTCTTTTTTAGTGGTAGCTTGAGGCAGGTTTCTTAGGGTGAGGCAGGAGAGAACAGCGTCACCAGGCCACACTGTCGCATCTATCCTGAGGGATTTATCTAGGCAAATGTCACCTGCGTGGAGAACGAAATTCTGGGTATTTTGAAGTATGGCATCTGCCAGGGAGGAGGAGACTGTTGGGTAGATGGGAGGAAAAGAGGGACTTGAACCTTTTCTCTTGCCCTAGTGTTACAGGAGGGAGACACTATCTGGCATCTGTTCCTTCCCCTAGAAGAGGGGCCTGAACCAGATCTTTCCAGGCATTGGCAGTATCTAGATTGAGGATTTTTCTTAATATTTATGTATGTAATTATGGAAGCTAAATCTAAGCTATATATGTTATATAAAATACATATTTGTGAATATGTAATTTGAGACTCATTCATGTGTCAATATAAAAATTAAGTCTTGAAAAATGTAGTTTATAAAGAGAGTGTCAACTGTGGAGCAGGAGGAGCCTTGGCCTTGGCCTTGGAGTATTTGTGTGGAAGACCTGGTACTATCACTGTTTGCCATGTGACCAAGGGCAAATTACTTAACCTTTCTGATCCTCACTTTTATTAATGGAAAGATAAGAAGAGTAATTCCTCTGCTGCCTGTTAATATAGCATTATTGAGAGCATACAGTGAAGTTGTGGATGTGAAGCTCTTTTTAATGGAAAAGCTCTTCTTCAGTTATTGTGAGGCATAGGATTAATAAACCCAAAAAACACAGCATTGTCATTCCTCTCTTCAATCTTTCTTTCCAGTCGAGCATCATTTGGCATCGAACATTCAGCGGAACCGTTTGGTCCAACATGATCTCCAGGTGGCTAAGCAGCTTCAGGAAGAAGATCTGAAAGCTCAGGCTCAGCTCCAGAAGCGCTACAAAGACCTGTGAGGATTTGGGGTGTGGGAGGGAGTCATGCTGGGACTGGTTTTCTCTGTGGAGTCAGCAACCAGGGCAGGGAAGAAGACTCTGTGTCTGTCCCTCTCATGCCTTTCACTATTAGATTATAAATCCTGTTGTGGCTATCCCATAGTTTTCTTTGATTTGAAAATTTTTGTTCACTGATGGAACACTTTCTAAGTTTTGGGACATGTGGATTCTAGTATGAACTCTTAACACTTTTAACTGTATGACTTTGAGGCATTTGGTCCACCTCTCTGAGTCTATATTCCTTCCCTATAGCATTTGGAAAATAATCTCTGTCCTTTTTGCCTCATAGGTTGTTTGGGGGAGTCCAGTGAAATACTGGCTATCAAAGAACGTTATGAGTTGTATTGGATTCCTTTCCTCTTTCCTGGTGGTGTTTGCTGCTCTTATTTTCCTTGAACCTCTTGCTTTTCAGGGAGAGGCAGAATCTTCTGGAAAGCTCTGAATTACACCCTCAGTTCTTTTTATAACTTCTGCAACTAACAAAAGTTCTTTCTCAGTCTTCTCTTAATAGGTTAGAAAAATGGAAAGATCACATCTAAAGTCTCTTCCAGCACAATGACTTTTTTTTTTTTTTTAATGTGCTTTGAAAGCTCACAAATTGCATTACTTGAGAGTGGCCCCTATCCCTAAATCTCAGATGGTGGATTTTATCACAAGGTATTGTTTGGAGGAGGAAAGGGTAAAGGAAGAAGTGAAGGGACTCTTAATTTACTGTAGTTCATGTTCAAAGAAACAGGAAAACCTATCATTTTTGCTGTTTTGAGGAACGGTTTGTCTTTGTTTTATTACTCATAGAGAGAATTTTAGTCATCATTTTGTTCAGCTTCCTTAGTTTGGAAATAAACACTCTCACTGACTCTTGCTCTGCCTGTTACCATGAAAGGCACTGGAGACCTCAGATAGGAATAAAATGTAGCCACTGCCTTTAAGGGCCTCAGAATAAAACTCTGAGCATTGTAAATCTACAGATACCTGCACAAGCCACAGGGAAGAATTGGAGAATATGTTTCATGCCCATGAAGAGGGGAGAGACTGGAAAAACCATCCCAATGCAGACAGTACAATTAATCTGAACCTTGATGGTTAATTAGAAGTGTGTAGTCGTAGCTGGGGAAAAAGATTCTAGTCAGAGGAAGTAAAAGGGAAGATAGGAGGTAAAAGAACCTGGAATCTCATGGTAGCTACACGAAGTTTAGTCTTGCTGGACTGCAGGGTGTGAATAAGGGCATGGTAGGGGATGAGGCCAGAAAAGTAGACAAAAGCTGGGCCAAAAAGTTACATAAGTTATATTTTTAGGAATTTAGATTTTGTAGATTTTATATTATAAACAGCAGAGAACCTGTTAGGGTTTTCATTTTGGGGCCTTCTCTGGGGGCTGGATCATTGAAGGATTGTGGGGGCAGCTGTTAAGCAGTGGTCAGATGAAAAGATGGCGAGGCTTGATTTGAGGGTAATGGCAATAGAATTAGAAGAGAGATTTGACGCGCCTTTGTGTGGCTCAGTCGGTTAAGCGACTGACTCTTGATTTCAGCTCAGGCCCGGATCCCAGGGTCATGAGATCGAACCCCACGTTGGGGTCCATGCGTAGGGCAGAGTCTGTTTGGGACTCTCTCTCCCTCTGCCCTTCCCCCCTGCTCTCTCGCTCTCTCTCTAAAATAAATAAATAAATCTTTAAAAAAAGAAAAAAAGAAAGAGACTCGAGATGTGTGGAGCTTCAGGGTCATAACCAGAGGGAAAGTCAGAGCCAGAGCTAGAATAATATTCTAGAGTTCTCAGTTATTGCCCTTTACAGGATTCACAATGCTTTACTCTGAAGGGCAGTTCTGAGGCTGGCGCAGAGGTTTAAGATCCTAAATTAGGGTAATGATCGTATAAAGAGATTATTCAGAGATTATCGAGATAAAACACTAAATATAAATGAGGATTCCGACAGTGATGGATTATAGGTCTTAAATTAGAGGAGAGCCAGGTATTACATTTCTCCTTGGGACTTCAGGGTTTTAGAGGTATTTAGAGCTGAAATAAGTAAGTTAGAAAGGAAGTTTTTCTGATTTTCACACCCTGGTAATTTTGACGTTTGCACATCAGTGGATGAATGAAATGCTGTAAATATTAATGACCTGGAACGTCTCACTCCGTCTGCATCCTGGGGCCCCTGTCCAATGTCAGGTTTGCCAGTTGTTGACTACTCCTTTCTCACTTGATTTTTCTTCCTCAGAATTCTGTATAATTGGCTGAGTGTACTGGACCTGGTCCTTCATGGAAGTATGATTTGAAGTTATTAAGCTCAGCTTAAATCTCACTTCTTTAATTTTTTTTTATTATTTTTAAAAAATTATTTAAATTCAATTTAGTTAACATATAGTGTATTATTAATTTCAGGGGTAGAATTTAGTGATTCATCAATTGCATATAACACCCAGGGCTCATTACATCAAGTGCCCTCCTTAATGTCCATCCCCAAGTTACCCCATCCCCACACCCCCCTCCCCTCCAGCAACCCTCAGTTTGTTTCCTAGAGTTAAGAGTCCCCTATGGTTTGCCTCCCTTCCTTCCTTCCTCCCTTCCTCCCTCCCTCCCTCCCTCCTTCCCTCCCTCCCTCTCTTCCTTCCTTCCTTTCTTTCTTTTCTTTCTTTCTTTTTTCTTTTTTTATAAACATATAATGTATTATTTGTTTCAGGGGTACAGGTCTGTGATTCATTAGTCTGACACAATTCACAGTGCTCACCATAGCACATACCCTCCCCAATGTCTATCACCCAGCCACCCCATCCCTCCCACCCCCCACCACTCCAGCAACACTCAGTCTGTTTCTTGAGATTCAGAGTCTCTTATGGTTTGTCTCCCTCTCTGGTTTCGTCTTGTTTCATTTTTCCCTCCCTTCCCCTATGATCCTCTGTCTTGTTTCTCAAATTCCTCATATCAGTGAGATCATATGATACTTGTCTTTCTCTGATTGACTTATTTCGCTTAGCATAATACCCTCTAGTTCCATCCACGTCGTTGCAAATGGCAAGATATAATTCCTTTTGATGGCTGCATAATATTCCATTGTATATATATATATATACCACATCTTCTTTATCCATTCATCTGTCCATGGACATCTGGGCTCTTTCCATATTTTGACTGTTGTTTATACTAGGAAGTACATCTATGTCACTTTTGACCTTTAACATTTGATTTGGACTTGTCTTCTCTGCTGAGCTTCTGCTTTCTTCCCATCTGTTATCATCTGCATATAATTAATAGTTGCTAACTCCTGTACAGATTTTACATGAGTTTGGGAGATCCGAGTAGAGAAGTCTTTGAAAACTAAGACCATGATTTTGTATATGATTCTTAATTGTTAGAAGTGAGTAAATGAAAAGACGATGTATAAATAAAAATTGTTCTGAGTAGATTTTCAGTTCTTTGGTTTGAGTGGTTAAGAATCCGAAAATATTAGACCTATAAGATGAAGTCGTTAAGTCCACATACTTTTATAGCTGGTAAATTGCCCACGAGAGGGCACAGCTTTCTGGCTGTCAGTGACAGGACCAGAAATCAAGTCTGCAGCCACCTTCTGCAGTGGTTTTCCTGTTGATTCTGAGGATCTTGCCACCCCTTACTTGTGCTGTCTTACTTTCTCTTCCTTCCTTTCTGTCTTGTGTGTGCATAACACATGTGTACACACCTGCGTGTACACACACATCTTCCACCTACACCTCTTTCCAAGCATGTTGAAAGTGACCCATTTCCATATAGAATAATGAGAATAATTTTTATCCTTTCAGTTTTGTCAGAATAGAGTATATGGGTTTTAATTCCTTAATTGCAGTTAGGATTATTGCCCCTACAGCACTTTTGAATTACAAAATGTTGTTTGTTAAACATGGAGTATACCACCAAGACTGAGATTCACTGAGTATTTTTTTTTTTTTTTTTTTTTAAGTAGACTCCACACCCAGCATGGAGCCCAACGCAGGGCTTGAACTCAGGACCCTGAGATCAAGACCTGAGTTGAGATCAAGAGTCGGACACTTAACTGACTGAGCCACCGAGGCACCCCTACTGAATATTTTAAGTTCACTTGGCAGGGGGACAGTGAGAAGATATATTTGTTTAGGAAACAGACCGCATCCATAAGTCACAAATGTAATTTTATTCCATCATCTTTTTAAATAGTAAACTCTATGCATGTTTCTGCTCTTCATTCTTAGCTAACAATTTTATGTAAAGGTTGGTCTCCAGAGCTATTGCATTCGGGAGTTTTGGGCTGTCCGTCGACTTTTCTTGAAACCTGAAGCCAAAAGACATGTGCACTTGTAGCCACCTCTGAGAGATCCAAATCCTATTTTGTGTTTGAATTGCTGTTTTAAGGATCTGTTTCTTCCACCAAAATCATTCTCTTGTTTCTTCCACCAAAAAGTATTGTGAGCCTCTGAGTGCAGAATGAAGATTTCCTTATGTTTGTATCCTCAGTGTTGAGCATAGTGGCTGGACCACAGCAGCTGTTATTTAAATCTTTGTTGAATGCATAAATGCCCAAACAAAACAAACTGTGCTGGCCACAGTATTACATTTGATTTTCTTAGGGGCCTGAGTATTAAGAAAACTGGCATCATCCAGAGAGGTATCTGTTGGGAACTGAAGCTGGGGAGGAATTTAAGTATTAGTGAAACTGAAAAATACATCTAATTTAAAAATTTATAGAAATCACTTTAAAGTCATACCAGCACCTCTAAGTGACCACAGTGACATTTAGTGAACTCTCTCCCAATTTTTTTCTGTGTACTCCATATCTATATTTCGATATTTGTGGACATTAATCTCATAGTTGATGTCTCCTTTGCATATTCTTGAGAAAACATGCCTCTCTGTAGAGTGGCCCCAGTATGATGAGGTGATTCAGTAGGGTAGAAAAAGCATGGGACTTTCCATTGTAGTGTCTGGGGATTGGATTCTGGTTCTACCACTTATTTTCTCTGTGATCTTAGAGAAATGGTTTCACTACTCTGGGCCCCAGATTTTTTATCTGTAAGATGTGATAATATCAACCTCTTTGCATCACTCTTGTGAGGATTAAGTGAGATAAAAAATGTGCTATGGGCTCATAGTGAGTATCCAGTAAATTGTGTTATATTTATAGAAAAATCATTCCTTATTTATACTATTTTCACTTTTGTTTTTTAGTGAACAACAAGACTGTGAAATTGCTCAGGAAATCCAGGAGAAGCTGGCTATTGAGGCAGAGAGACGACGCATTCAGGAGAAGAAGGATGAGGTACAACCTAAATAACGCCCCTCCTCCCCAGCACAGAGGAAGGGCTGCTTTCAGTATTCACGGGCTCAGGGTAGGGTTCCCGGAAGGGCAGCAGAGCTCTTGTCTTTGGGGGTGCATAGTCCAAGTATTGCCTTCCATGGACCACCTTTTATTGCCCCTTGATAACCTAAGTGAAATCTTAAAAAATGACGGTAATTCAACATAAGGTGTGAATTAGTTTCCTAGGACTGCTTTAACAAATCACCAGAAACTTGATGGCTTAAGACAGCAGGAATATATTCTCTCACGGTTCTGGAGGCCAGAAATCCAAAATCAGGGTTTTGGTGGGACCCTGCTACCTTCTGGGAAAGATGCTTCTTTGCCTCTCCCTACCTTCTGGTGGCTCCTGATAGTCATTGGCATTCCTTGGCGTGTCACTGCATCCCTTCCGTTTCTGCCTCTCTTGTCACATGGCCTTCTTCTTGTATCTTTGCGTCCTCTTCTTGTAAGGGAACCAGTCATTGGATTGAGGACCGGCCCTAGTCTAGTATGACTTTCTCTTAACTTATTACATCTGTGAAGACCCTATTTCTGAATAAGGTCCTATTCTGAGGTACTTGGTAAAAATGAATTCTTAGGGGACACTCTTCAACCCAATACAGGCTGTATGTCTGTGGGTTATTCCTACAGTCTTAAGAGAGAGCAGACGGGAGTGTAGGCTGAACAAGAGTCAGGGGGTGTCATTGTGAGAAGCCAGGAGCCACCGTTGCTCTTACTCTTCGTTGTTCGTGGCTTCACTCTCCTGTGGGTGCTGCCTCAAAGAACTAACTCATTTGTTTGATTCTGTAGGTATTTTTAAATTGTATTGTTTTTAAAGCTGAAAATGACTAAAAGTAGCAATAGCGTTTTGTTGGTAAGAGGACTTGAATTTGCAGTTAAATATTACTTGCCTTTGTGTTGGACTTTTAGCATTTTTTACAAACAGTTCTTGTTCAGTTTGTATTGATTCTGTGTCTGCCTTGCTGTTCTTGGCCACAGATTAAGGTTATATTTAGGAAGAAAATGATTTATAATTTTAATAATAGAATGACCATATGATTTATTGTATGTGTACTCAAATACTTTTCTGGGTTAAAGGGGGTGCTATTAATAATTACATAAACTGGGCCTGTCCTGGGTACCAGCACACGTGGTCACCCTATTAAATAGGTGGGATGAGGGCCATCAGTAAACTAGCCTGGATATATTGCTGCTCCCACAGAGCCATCCTTGTTCCTGTAAGACTCCTTGTTCTATGCCAGGTGAGCATGAGACACCTGGTATGTGTGTATTTAGCTGTGTCTTTAAGAAACAAACCATGATTTTGTGATAATCAGAACTGCAAGTAAGAATTAGGGGTTGCTTTTTAGCCTTCCTGTTATCAACACAGGAACTCTTTCTTACTACAGGATGTGTTGCCTCTCTGTAGTCAATACTTTGCTTTGGGGATGGAACTGGGAACTGAAAGAAGTGATTATATTTTCTAAACAGGAAAGCTTCTATCTTAAAAATAACAGAGTAATGAAGTTGGCTTCTTATAAATGCTACTGGTGTCCTGTGATTTTTTTTTTCCCCCCATTCAGGAAAAATAGGAAAGAAAGAGAAACCAAAACACTTTATTTAGGCATGTAGAATCTAAACAGCAATCACAAGAAATAGTCTCATGGTAATACTAGATAAAGTAAGCAGTTTAGTGATTAACTCTTTTTCAAATGAACTAATTAAGACTTGAAGAATCAGTGACTAGTCCCCAGCTATAATAAGATGCCAGAGAAATGTCTGTATAGTTCAGGTCCCCTGACTGACTGCTTCTGAGACAGATGTCCTATGACACAACAGAAAACATGTAAACTTTGGAGTTAGAACGCTCTGGATTTGAATCTTAGCTCTTTAACTTTTAGCTGTGACTTTCAGAATCTCACTTAACCATGTAGAACCTCAGGTTCCAAATTGGAAAAGCCATGATAATTGTACATATCCTGGAGGGCTGTTGTGAGGTTTAAGTGAGATCATGTATGTAAGGCCTCTGGGACATACTAAGTTAATAATTTCTCTTTCTTTTTTACTTTCTTGCCAGTCGTTTCCACACCACTAGGCCCTTTATAACAGCGCTGATTTCTCTTATAGAAAGAGATGTGTGCTAAATTAGAAAGGGGGAAATAAACAGGCTTAAGTGTATTCCAGTCTGGTGTGATCTGAGCAATCCTCAAGCATTTCCTTGCCTTTGCTAGCCTCCCAGCTCGCTTGCCTTCCAGTACTGTTTGACCTGCTCTGATGGCCCCATTCCCCAGTGCAGTGGAGAGATTAAAGGAGAAATCCAGTTGGGGGAGATTTTGTGAGACTAGCCTTAAAAACTCCATTCAGACTCTTTGATTTTCCAGCTGATGCCTTAGATTAGAAGATGCCTACCATGCCGAGATATTCTCTTATCAATAGATAGGACTCTTGGGCGCCTGGGTGGCTCAGTTGGTTAAGCGACTGCCTTCGGCTCAGGTCATGATCCTGGAGTCCCAGGATCGAGTCCCGCATCGGGCTCCCTGCTCGGCAGGGAGTCTGCTTCTCCCTCTGACCCTCCCCCCTCTCATGCTCTCTCTCTCTCATTCTCTCTCTTAAATAAATAAATAAAATCTTTAAAAAAAAATAGATAGGACTCTTAGTTGACTGGTATGTTACTAATATTAAGTGAACAAAATTTGAGTAATAAAGCTTGTCATTGAAGGATGTATGATAATGCCTATTTGTTTATTTTAGTCCCTGTGCCTCACAGAGGAGACTGAGACTGAGATGAGATAATAGTGGAAGTTTTTCTGGCCAGCTCTTAAAAAAACATTGCCTGTTACTCATGAACTGTCCTAATTCTTTTTTAAAAATGTTTCTCTGGGGGCGCCTGGGTGGCTCAGTTGGTTAAGCGACTGCCTTCAGCTCAGGTCATGATCCTGGAGTCCCTGGATCGAGTCCTGCATCGGGCTCCCTGCTCGGCAGGGAGCCTGCTTCTCCCTCTGACCTTCCCCCCTCTCATGTGCTCTCTCTCTCTCATTCTCTCTGTCTCAAATAAATAAATAAAATCTTTAAAAAAAATTTTTTTTTCTCTGTCTATGCTCTTCTATTTCCTTGTAGAGTCTGCTTAGCTAGTAAGTTCTTACTGAACAGCAGGGCTATGGAAAATTCCTCTCTGATCACCCACATCTCATTTTCAGAGATTTTTGGGGTCAACTCTCTTCAGTAGTTTATAACCCCCAAACAACCAGATGTAGAATCCAAGGCCTCTTTTCCCTTGGGGCAGAGTATTTTTCCTGAACAACATTGTACATGAGAAGTTATACAACTCTGTGTGGGTGAATTACCATTTCTGGCTTTGTTATGCTGTAATTTTATTGTGCTTTTTAACAGAGCATAGATGTAAGGAAAGTAGCATTTCCATGCAGGGAGACAGATGTAGAAAAGTTTTTTTTTTTTTTTTTTTTTTTTTTTTTTAAAAAAGCAAGGAAGGGAAGAAAGAAAGAAAGGTCTTCAATATTCTTATCAGATTGTAGCCTCCCCTCTCCTGCTTCTCCCCTACTTTCCCCCTTCTCTTTCTTTTTTATTTTTTTCTCCCATCCTTCCTCCCTTCCTCCCTCCCTTCCTTCCTTTCCCCCTCCCTTCCTTCCTTTCCCCCTTTCTTCCTTTTTTTTTTTTAAACTTTTTTACGTAGTGTGACTATGGTTAGTTGCATTGCTCTCTAGGCCCCTGTTGAAGCAGGGTTATAGCCTTTGGGAATACTGGACTGTATGAGTTTGTAACTAAGAAAAGTGGGCTAATCCCATTGGGATCATTCTCTTGGGTTATAGCATAAGCATTTGTCATTGTTTCGTAAAGCTAAGGAATGTGTGTTTAGTTGATTGAAGTTATTTTTAAATAAAACTCTTAAGCATATGTGTGTGTGTTTGTGTATGTGTGTGTGAATATCTATAGATACACATGTGTCTTTTGAACCTAGATCCAAATATATGTGAATGTGCAACTATTTTAGCGCAAAACTTTTTTTTTTTTTTTTGCTTAAGTAAACAGCATGACCATGTTATGAAAGATCTGTGGCACTAGTCCAACAGTTTGAAGCCATTTATAATATGAACTGTTCAGGGATAGACTTAGTAACCAGTTTACATTAAAAATTAATCTAGTGTGAACCATGGTACTTTTTCATAACATTCTTAAAGTGATTAGAATTTCATGTTCTAAAAGAATATTTATGTAAGTTGGTAATATTTAGAGCATAGCTCAAATAACAGTACATTTTAGCTACAAAAAAAAAAAAAGATGCCCTATGTTTTGGCACTTTAAAAATAAGATTATACATATATGGCCAGAAAGGGGGCATGAGTAGAAGGTTTTTGGTTGAGAAAATTCTCCTCTCTTCTTATCTTGGTCATAAGGATGTTTTTACATCCATAGAATTGGTATGTTGTTTTCTGGTCTTACACCCTCTGAAGATTATACCGGTTATGAGTTCCCTACTGAATTAGATGTTAATTGCTAGTTGATAAAGAAATGTAGCAATCTAATGGAGTGGCTTTCTTTTTTTTTTTTTTTTCTTTCCAATAGTCATTTGACAATCACATTGTTAGATTTCCTTGATTGTTTTTATGCCAAAGATTTCCTCATTTTGAAACCTACTACCATTGAGGAATAGAAGTGGAAACTTTCAGGGAAAAGTAACCCTGATATAAAATCATATAAACCAAAAAATAGCCTAAGGAATCCAATATAATAGTTTAGTAATTTTTTAAAAATTTTATTTATTTATTTGAGAGAGAGAGTATGAGCAGGGGGGAGGGGCAGAAAGGAAGGAGAGAGAGAACCCCAAGCCGTCTTCCCAGTGAGTGTGGAACCTGGTGCGGGGCTCAATCCCAGGACCCTGAGATCATGACCTGAGCTGAAATCAAGAGTTGGACACTGAACCCCCTGAGCCCCGGTGGTTTCCTAATTTGTCATCTACTTGGGAAAGATGTTTTAGGCTCCTCTGGGCTCTGCTGCACCTTGTTTGTGATATTGCCTCTCTTAGAACACTCACCTTTGCATGTCTTAAATTACACTAATCATTTTGCTTCTAAAACTTAATAGGTAAGAACTTTGAGAATATTGGCCATATATCCTGTTTCTCTATAGGTCTGTAGGAAAATGTTTGGCTTATTGAAGGCAATCAGTAAAACTATGTTTTTATTAAAATGACTTTTTTTCTAGCATCTAGAGATCCTTAACTGTGTTCTGTCCTGTGCTCACAGTTTCACATTTTCAAGATTTGGATACAATGGTGAATTTTCATTCCAATAAGTGTATTTACCAGAAAGTCTTCTAATTATGGAGTTTTTTTGTGTTTTGTGTTTTTTGTTTTTTGTTTTTTTACACATGAGCCCACAGTAAGCCTACCTGATTAATATGATTAATTAAAAAATAATTGAAAATGACTTCAGAAGGGCTTATGAGTTCTTTTAGGTTTGTTTTCTCAAGTTCTGTTTTGTGAAACAGTAATTCCATAAGGTTTATACTTTTTATGTAAAAAGCTTCTTTCTCAAAATAAATTTGAGTATATTTAGGTTATAGGAAGATAACAGGTTTCTTTTACCAAAGTTTTAAAGTAGGCTAATGTGCTTTTTTTTTTTTTTTTTAAGATTTTATTTATTTATTTGAGAGAGAGAGAATGAGAGAGAGCACATGAGACGGGGGAGGGTCAGAGGGAGAAGCAGACTCCCTGCCGAGCAGGGAGCCCGATGCGGGACTCGATCCAGGGACTCCAGGATCATGACCTGAGCTGAAGGCAGTCGCTCAACCAACTGAGCCACCCAAGCGCCCGCTAATGTGCATTTTAAAGAGTTAGATGTAATACATGCTTTCCACTGAGTGCCTTGTGTTTTTTGGAGAACCTTTAGAGACTGGGGTTCTCAGGAACAGAGCTTTGGAAATGCTGTTCTAGACTAACCTTTAACAGGAAAGAAGCTGAGGAGGACCAGGGAGGTTGTTTATGTCGCGGGTGACTAAGCTGCACATAGCACCGTGACTAATTGCCATCTTCAGTTTGTTTCAGGGGAGGTTCTATCTCCTGACATCACCTCCCTGAAGGCAGTGCATAGTAATACTGGAGAGGGGGGAGGGGAACGCACTTGGGCCATGCCTCAGCTCTTAACACAGCAGTCCCTTGTCAGTGACGCCCTGATCCTTTCCCTCATAGGCCTTGGCAGCCTATCCTCTCACCCAGAAAAGAGCTGAGAGCTTAAGAGAGCAACAGGTGTGGGTGCTAAGGTGCATAACTGTTACTTTCCTTGATGAAAAGCACTTTCTTTGACTAGCTAATGCCCAGTCAAAAAGCGGCATCATCCTTGTTTCTTTCCTGGTTCTTCACACAGAGAACACGGCTTTTTATTGTGTATTCATTAGGACAAAATTCACTAGCAGAAAAGCAAGTATAAGGTCTCTAAAGCATAGTTTAATTTCATAATTTCTGCGGGCAGTTGGACCTGGTAGTTTTCCTTTATATTTTTACTCCATTACGGCAAGGGAAATTTCTTGTTTCCTATAAAGCAAACCATTTGTAGTATTAGGTTCTTAGTAAACATGACGGCAACTCAGGGAAATTTTGCATTTTCTTCCTATTCTGCAATAAGAAGTATAGGGATTTGGAAAACTCTTCTATAATAATACTAGCTTTGGGAGAACAAGTTATCTGTCTCTTGAACTGATTGATATATTACTTTTTTTTTTAAGATTTTTATTTATTTATTTATTTGAGAGAGAGAATGAGATAGAGAGAGCATGAGAGGGGGGAAGGTCAGAAGGAGAAGCAGACTCCTGCTGAGCAGGGAGCCCGATGCGGGACTCGATCCTGGGACTCCAGGATCATGACCTGAGCCGAAGGCAGTCACTTAACCAACTGAGCCACCCAGGCGCCCCGATTGATATATTACTTTATAAGACATCAAATATGATGGACCTGGCACAGGGGCTATACCTGGTAACAGGTTTATTAAAATGATGCATTAGGGAATCAAGACGTTTGACTTTAAGATTGATTGGTAATGTATGTGTATAAATCGATGTGTGTGTGTGTGTGTATATAATATGTAGATATAGATATGTACATATATCTATAGATATGTATGTATGTGTGTGTATATACATGTCCATATATAGAGAGATGATTGAGTAGTTGATTGGTAGAAAGGTATGTATATCTTTCACAAAAATTTATGAGAAGCTTCCAGCATAGAAATCAGTTAAAGATATTATATTAATAGTATATTCGTAAGTTTAAATTTAGATATTCATTTAACATAAGGTCGGATTTGTAAGGCCATTTTGGTGAACATTAAAAGCTGAGTGTGTGGATAATCATTGCTGATTTACCTGGCTACGGCATCCATCATGTTTCTACACTGACATGAAAGTAATTGATTCATTCAGATGAATTATCTTTGAAGTTTGCCTTCCAGTCTTAGTATATTCTTCATTTGACTTATTTGGAAAATTGCAAAAGGGAGAGTAGTAATGAATTCTTGCTTCAAAATTTATATCAACATCTAAGCACTTCATGTATTCCTTATTATAAATATAAAGTAAGCACCTCAAACTACCTATGATTGTTATTTTTCACCAGGGAGTGCTGTTGCATATTTGTTTGGTCTTTAAGAATCTGGTGACACCTAGGGACCGTCTTTCCCAAAAAGTGTACATGGAACAAAGTTTATGTGCTGCTTTGTGGGTCTTTCATAGAAATAAGCTTCAGAGTCAGAACACTGTTACTCTCTAGCTCAAACCTTTAGTAACCCTTGATCCCTTACACTGTGGACTCCAGACTTGTTGAGATTATGTAAGGAGTGCCTGTGATCCAGTCTCAGACTGTTCTTCTAGCCTCATCTTTCTCTGTAACACCCCACCTCCTGTGTTCTAATGGACTGTTGGTTGTTGCCCATTAAAACATTCATGTTTTTTCTGAGGTTGTTCTCCCTCCTTACTTTGCCTATTGGAATCCAGTTCAAAACCTAACGCAAATGCAAAGACTTGCACTAATTAACTTAAGCAGAAATAAGACTTGCCTCTTTTATACTCACATTGACATTTTTACCCTCTTATTGAGGCATTTATGATTTAATGGTATTGTAGTTATTTGCACATACCTTTGTTTTCATACAATGATGGTAATCTTTTGGGGGGCAGGATCAGAATGTTACTCATCACTCAATAACTGCTAAAAACTTGCCTGGAGATGAAGCAAGGGGGAGACAGAAATAATACTGTTTTCTCTTTTTTCAGTTAAGACAATGGTACTCTAATGCAAAGCTAAATCAAGGATCAGCTGAAGAATTCTTTTATAAAGTTTTAAAATTAAATTATACACACTATTTATAAAGTTGCATAGATTACTGCACTCTTCTCCATCCAGACTTACTGAATCATCAGCTTGGAAAAAGGGCCCACAAATAAGTATTTTAGAAATTCTGTTGTATAGCCAGCTTTAGGAATACTAGGTTTGTAGGTCTCCAGATTGAATTAAATTTAAATTTCAATTAAAAAAAAAAAAGCCTTTCTTGTTCATCTGGATCATGTGCCACTCCTGTTGAGCAGTTATGTATGGCATTTGAATAGCATGAGCTTAATGCCAGAAAGTCTGGAAAGCTATGGACAGAGCCCACAAAAGCTTGGCAATGGAATATCAAACCACTGACTTGTAGGGCTACTGGATGGAATCTGTTCCATTGTAAAAGATTTGTTCATTTTCTGGTAATATTGATTAGCATTCTCTTTGTACTTGCAGGACATAGCTCGCCTTTTGCAAGAAAAGGAGTTACAGGAAGAGAAAAAACGAAAGAAACACTTTCCAGAGCCCTCTGGATCCAGTGCTTATGGAGATAGTTACTATTATGAAAATGGAGGTAACAATGGCTACGTTATGATTTACTCTGCCCTTAGACTCAACCATAAGACACCCCTTTAAATTTGTCTGTAAAGTGACCTCAGGGCCCATGTGGATTTGTGGCCAAATACTCCCTGAATCTAATGAATTCATCTGTTCCTTAGTTGAACGACCAGAGCTATTTTTATGGCTCTTAAAACAACCGTGGTTTTGTAAGATTTGACATGCATTCTGTTGTGCTGTAGCCACTTGGAATGCTGTACTACATTCTAAGCACATAAACTGGGGTGTAGAAAATGGGGATGAGTCTCTGGGCTTGATCTTTCTCAAGGAGTCTGGGCAGAATGTCCGAAGCCGCAGAGTGCCACTAATAATGAAGATGGTACATCATGCATCAGTTGGGTAACAAAGCTTCTTTCCATGCCTCTTGTGTTTCAAACATAGGCCAATGAGAATGTGTGCTGATGACAAAATTAAATTCAAAGATACTGTGTTCATTATTTGTCCTTGATGCTTCCTTGCTGTTTGATTGCCATACAGAAAAATTCCTGAGGGAGAGAAGTCCCTTCCGAATTTCTCTTCTCTCGTGTCTGCTTTTGCAGTGTGGTGGTGGTGATGGCATTGTCGTGGCAATTGTGGTGCCGGTGATTCTTTATCTTAAAAGTGTGTTGGGAAATGAGTATTTGCAAGTATTGGTCCATCTCTTTTAAAGATCTGTCAAAGGAAAGACATTTCTTACCTAGTATCAGTGTTTATTGTAGTTCGGCTTGGAGACCAGACTTAGGATAACAAGTAAGTAAAACCTAAAGCATCTTCTAGAGAGTAAAGATACTAAGGTCAGTGATTCCCAAGGCCCTTGTGAGCTAATTATCAATTACTTCTCTATAATTTCATTGGAAAAAGGAAGTAGGTATTTGTCTTTGACGAGGAGAATGAAAGGGATGCACATGTAGATGTTAGGATTATTATAGTTGAGTACAATCTTGCCCAGTCACGCTCTTAAATTTGTTGTTATCGGTAGAGCTCGGCTCTATTGCAGTTAATAAGCAGGTTGATTCTCTATTTATTGTTTGTGCTCTTCTTCCATATGTTAAATGCTCAGCTCTTTTTTGAAAGACATTTTCCTTATGCTGGTATTCCTAATGAAATCATGTATTACATCATTTAAAAAGAAAAAAAAATATTGCCATATATTTCTGTGCTAGACACCAGAAGGTAAAGAGTTTATTCTTGAGCTTTAATTAAAAGCTTAGAAATGTGCTCTGGTAGTTTTCATTTGTTTTTATTTTTATTTCTGCTCTGGAATCATGTTCACTGCAAATAAAAGCAGCTGTTTAAAACTATAAAGTCTATAAAAACATTAGGATGGCAAGTAATTAAGTATACTAAAGTATTAATTTGGCCTTCCTCTATTAAAACCTTTGACTGATTTCAATCAGGGCTCAAATCTGGTTGTTTTAACCAGAGTGATGTCATCCTCTAGGGCAGGAGACTATGTTAAGAATTCGGTTTTTCAGGGACACCTTAAAGTAAAAAAAAAGAAAATCGTGAAGTTGTGACCTCCTGAGCATATGCATATAAATATTAGAATTCCTCTTCAGTTGTGTTGTTGTTGAGAGTTTATAGATTGCTGAACATGTGTGATCCTCATTCATTTGCCTTTGAGTCAGACCAAGTTCCATAGAAACCACATTATAATTCAGCTCATATGCAGTGGTCTTTTCCCAACACATAGGGATATTATTTAATTGCGCTTCTCTATCTTTATGTATACTATGATTTTTGCCTTAATTACATAATAATTAAAGTAGATCATTATAGAAATGGTTTTCTTTTTCGCTTTTATTTTACTTAAGCTTAAATCTTAAAAATGATCATTTATAGATTTTCTACAAATTTGAAATTATCTAAAACATATGTCAGATTTATATCAGCTGAAAAGGTATGTCTTGTTCCTTTGCGAATCCATGTTTTTCTTTCAAAGCCATACCTGTATCATAGGTGTATTAGTAATTTTTTTTAAGTCATGGTCTTTGGAGTTATAAGACCTTAGTTCAAGTTCCATGCCTTCCTTAGAATAACTGTAGTGTTGGGAAGTTATCTACTGTAAACACACTAACCTTTTTCTCATCTATAAAATGGAGATTTTAAAAATACATCCTTCACGTGGATGTTGAGAAGGTCAAATAATGTAATTTTGGTGAGGACTTAAACTCTAAAGTACTGTTGTTTATGCATATATCAGTATTATGTATATAACAGTATCTTGCATATCTATGCAAAAATCATCTTATTCTGAAAGACAAACATGGAAGCACACAGATAAAATGTGTACATATATGTATGTGTGCATATAAATATATATGCATTGGCTATAAGTAAGTTAATTATATTTGCCAAATAACTTGGTCCCAAGAAACATACAAGTCTCAGTCCTTTAACTGGATAGGGTTTCAAAGGATTCAAACAGATTCCCCAACCCAAGTCTTTTCTTTCCCAGGTTTAAAGATACCACAAATGAACTAGACGGCATATATTTTTTCCTGTCAACTCTGTGAAAATATAGTGCCAGCTCTGTGCTAATTCTTGGAGCACTTCTACTTACTAAAGTAGAAGTACTAATATCAGTTAACTTTTTAGAAAGAATTAAAAGCAACAACAAAACAATCATAGCCTCACATATCCATGTCAGAAATAAAAGCCCTTCTTGTTTTTTGGGGGGCAGGAAGGCAGACTTCATTCATGCAGCTCTCTGTGAAACACTGGTATTAACACTAAACCATAGTTCCCCAGATGTGGTCATCGTTTAAGTAGCGAGTCAGTAGTATATTAATAATTCACAGCAGGGCGCCTGGGTGGCTCAGTCGTTAAGCGTCTGCCTTCGGCTTAGGTCATGATCCCAGGGTCCTGGGATCGAGTCCCACATCGGGCTCCCTGCTCCTTGGGAGCCTGCTTCTCCCTCTGCCTCTCTCTCTCTGTCTCTCATGAATAAATAAATAAAATCTTAAAAAAAAAAATTTAAAAAAAAATAAAAAAAATAATTCACAGCAGTAGTCAATTGATTCTTTCTCAATTGTTAAGATATACTTAAAATAATAGTTTGGTAAAAGAATAGATACTTCTCTGTCATAGAGAATAATTGTTCTGTTTCACTTTTATGTAAAAAATAAATTTAATAAATTCTGCAGATAATTTTGTAAACTTTTTAGAAGACAGATTTTAGTTTAGATGTCATCTTTGAAGCAGATTTCCGTTTCTTCTGGAAAGCTCGAGAGGAAACAATTTGAAGTTTTTGAGAACCCTTATGGCATCAGTGATACATTTAGCACGTATCTCCTCTTCCTCTGTTCCTTTATTCGATTAACAATAACAAACTTAAAAAAAATGAAACAAAACCCCTAAAAATTAAGAAAATGTATAGTTCATTATTTCCTCTGTATCCCATCAAATTGGGGTAGCTCTTGCAAATGCAGTTCAGCTAGTGGGTAATTTCAACAGGGAATGTATCTTAGCTAACTTAGCCGTTTTCTGTGGAATGAGGATGTCTTTTTATTACAGAATGTACTTAGAAAATGTTAAAATAAATATGCCTTGCAAAGTGCACAGTAACATCCTTCCTTTGTTTTCATAGTATGCTCCTGCCTCAATGAGACCTAACAAAAGCACCACTCTGTGTGCTATTTTGTGTTACATTGAGGGACTTGTATAGTTAGCACACTCTGTATTTTTCTACAAAGGGTACAGTATCATTTTTTGGAATGAATGTCAGGGTGGAAGTGACTCCTCTTCCCGTATTCTGTTATGGCATCCCTTTTTAATTTTTTCCTCTGCGGAAGTTAAGGAAGTTTGGGAGCAGAGTTATCTAAAGATAACAGAGTCATTTACTCAAAATTCTCTATTCCGTCCTTTTCCACATTGAACTGCATGGCAGGAGAGAGTGGGGAAATACTAAAATCTGGGTCATTTCTCCAAACTAAATGGAAATTAGCAACATTCTGATAGAGATTTATTGTCATTTCCAATAAGAATATTTGAAAGCCTCTTCCTGGAAAACTTAGTTATCACCAGGCTTAGTTGTTCTCTGTTTTTAAGACTCCCTCACCCCCTATTTTCTCCCTAAAGTAGTTCCAAATTGGTGTTATAAGTAGAATTTAACATTTAATGGCTGTGGGTTTTGTTATTGGCAAATATTAAAGTATTGTATTAACTCCCTGGTCATAATCAAGCTCTTCCTTCAGATACATTTCATATAATTTTATTTTAGTCTTTTACGTTTTTGACTGGGTACCCAGAATCCTTCATGTATCCACAGACTGTTCCAATAAATGCCTGTCCCCTCTTTTCAGTTTGTTAAGTGGAAAAAGTAGTCTTCTCCATTTTAAAATACATTAAACTTGGGCCCCATCTTTCCTGTATAGTGAGTTCATACTCTCATTAAGTTAACCTGCATTTCTATTTTTCACATCCCTGCACTTCCACTCAGACCAGCCACAGTCAAGGAGGGCAAGGGAATTGGGTTCTGGAGTCTCAAGGTCATGTAGACTCCAAAGTGATGGAAACCATGTGAAGCAAAGGAACAAGAAACCCAAACATCCAATGGAGAACTTGGAAGAACTAGAAGATCATTGTTCATCAGGGAGATTTCTCTCATCCTATAGCTTGGGCAAAGTGAGGGCCAACTCCCAAATTGACACTGAGCAGCGTGAAAGGAAACGGTCTGATCATGAGAGACTTCGGAGACCTCCGCTTCCCAAGATCAGTGGTGAGGTGTTTCTGAGCACTGGATTTGATGATGGGGAGGCTAACAGTATCCATCGAACTTGGAATTGGGAAAAACAGTCCAGACACCAAGACCAACTTTCACCCAAGTCTTCACAGAAAGCAGGGCTTCATTGCAAGGAAGCTGTATATGGGAGGGACCATGGGCAAGGTGAGCACAGAGAAAGGAGACACAGGCCCAGGACTCCTCCCTTCTCAGAGAGTGAGGAACAGCTCCAGCTCCGTGACACAGGTAATGAAGGACAGTCACCTTGAAAGTCCTGGTATCATGTATATGCATACAAGCAAATGTATTTAATAAGCATCTTAAGCAACCTATTCTTTCTCTCTAGTTTGTACTCATGGCTTTAAAATGAATCCTGGAGCTAAATATTATAAAAGGTATCTACTTAATAACAAGTTTATACTAAGAGGAAAAATATTAGTACCTTTTTCCTGCTGCCTTCTAAGAAAATACACCAATGCCTTACAAGGTCTTTTAGCCCCAGATTGCAGTGGAGGTGCCCACCCCAGCTACAGTTCTTCATGTGCCAAGACCGTATACCAGAGAATCAGATACCAAATCAAAGCTCCTGAATTTCGGGTTGTAAGTCAGATGTGTTGACACTGCCTTCATAATATTTACCTAACTAGAAAACCAACAAGGCTGGAAATACTAGCTTCTCTTGGTCTCATCCTTCCCATTTGTAAAGTGAGAGATTGAATAGGCAGTCTCTTATAACAGCATATTTCTAATTGTGGGCCTTAGGCTATTTTTGTCAGAATCAGGTGGGCTGTTTCCTAAAGAGGCAGCTTTCTGGATCTCATATGATCGTTTCTGTAGTTGCTCCTGGTGATTTGGACTTGTTTTAGACTTTAGAAGCTGTAACCATCTTCGACTCTAAGGCTGCAGTTGGTGTTCTGAAATGTCAGCATCGGGTATGTTCTTGGCATTTGTTTGCAAGGAGGTGAATGTTAGACTTGAGCCTCAAATTTCTGGCATCTTTGAGGTTTAACTCTGACATCCTTCATTGACACAGTAATGGTTCTCTCTGTTCTTACCTGGAAACTGCTGTGGTGATGTTTTCCTTGTGGCTCTACCACTCACTGTAAGTCGTAAATAGACCATAATCCTCTCCCTGGTTCTATTTTACTCTTCCTGAAGTTTTACAGAGACACAAGGGTTACTGGGGAGTACCATGGAGGCATCTGTTCTTACTTTCTTCCTTATCACTGCCCAGCCAACCTCTACTTCTGGGTCTGGAACTGGCTTCTGTGTTGCAGATTCAGGTTGATTCAGTTGGTTTCTTCTATCATGTTATCTCTGCCTTTGATGTTAGTCATTTAAGTTATTAAAAGACTTGGTCATAAAGAAAATGAAACGAGTTCAGCAACCATATTGAGTATCTGCTGAAAATATTCCTGCCTCGGGCTTTATGTTTGGGGATAAATGCTTGGATCTGAGCCTCAGGGGCATAAGTCAAACCAGAAAGTAGAATGAATGTAAACAAACAATTGCAAATTAGATATACTTTGAACAAAGAGCTATGTGGGAGTAGAGGAGGCAGTGATATAATCTATCTATAGTAAGTTATACTATCTATACCCAAATACAGAAAGACATGTTGGAGTCCTAACATGGGGGAGGATTGCTCCTACCTCTACATTCCTGATTCTGTGATTCTGACTTTTTAAGTGTGCTCTGAGGGCCGGTTAATCTTTATGGCTTTTAGTTATACTTGAGGCTTTCTTAAACAGGCTTAGGAAGGGTAAAACTAATATGAAATGAAACACTGATTCACAACCCTCCTACTGGAATTGTGGGTAAACTCCCTCTTCCCTGCACTCCCCACAAGTAGTTTAGAAAACACTGTGGCTAGGCAGGTACCAAAATGTAGCTGCTAATCTGTCATTTTGTATTCAACTTTACAAATTTTACCTTCCTAGAGACCTGAGGCATTTGATTTTGTGACCCCCTAGAATAGAAGATTACTGGCAATCTTAAAATGCAATTATTAAATACTGGTGTTTATTCTTGTTTTTGTAAAAGCACAGTTTAACTTAAAGTTGTTAGCATAGGCCAAGGTTTTATTTAAGTTAGTAATGAACAAACTAGCAGGGTGACAAAGAGCTAGTTCTCACAATTTGCATAGTCAGTTGAAAAAGGAATGCAAAATACAATTGCTAAATTAAATATAAGATTAGTTAACTTTCTAAAGGTCAGTAAAACCCTGTCTCCTTGAGGGTAACTTTTCTAATGAGCTATTAAATCATAACAGCTTATTACTTCCTGCAGGTTAACTTCTAGCCTCTCAGGGCCATAAAACATTTGTACCCTTCTGCTGTGACATTCCCCAAGCTTCAGACTGGCTTATTGAAAAAATATTCTTGCATGATATCCAAGAATCTATCAGTCCTCATTTTACCTTATCCCAAGTTTGGGATAGATGTGTCTTCAATATTAGTACTTGCTTATTGTGTGAGAATTTAAAGGTAAGCTTTATTTGTGTTTGTTGGGGGAGGTTCTTGTGTCCTTAAACTGGAGAATGATGAACAAAAGAGACAAGCAAGGATTAGATTAAGAATTGAATGTGCAGGGGCGCCTGGGTGGCTCAGTCGGTTTAGTGTCCAACTCTTGATTTCGGCTCCAGTCATGATCTTAGGATCATGAGATCGAGTCCCCTGCCGGGCTCTGTGCTGAGTGTGGAGCCTGCTTAGGATTCTCTCTCCCCCCTTCTCTCTGTCTCTAAAAGAAAAAATAGAAGAATTGAATGTGCAGCCGTTAAGTATGGCTGCCCTGATCTTTTTTTTTAAAGATTTTATTTATTTATTTGAAAGAGAAAGAGCAAGAGAGCAGGGTGGGGGACAGAGGGAGAAGCCGACTCCCCACTGAGCAGGGAGCCCGACTTGGGGCTCGATCCCTGGGATCATGACCTGAGCTGAAGGCAGCCGCTTAAACCAACTGAGCCACCCAGGTGGCCCTCACCTGATCTTCTGAAAGCTAGTTTTTGGATTGTTTAGGCTATTGAGATAAGAGCAGCCATTCTATTAATTTCCTTTAATTAACTGTACTTTAAAAATTTTTAAGCATCTCTGTTTTCTATAATGTACAGCCTTCCAATGTAGTATCTGAAGTTCTTCTTACATACTTACACGAGCTCTTTTTACCTCTGGTACAGCGCATACTGCATTTAGTGAGCAGTCCTGCCAGAAATCTAATATTGAGATTTTCTGCTTGTGAGACATGTAAATTCCAGTGATGTATCAATAGTTCAAATAAACTGTTTCCCCACTAGATATTTGGGACTTAGAGAGTATTACCTCAAATACTTACTCATTAACTATGCATTCATTCATTCATGCATTCATTCATTTATATTGAGGTATAGTTAACATACTATATTAATTTCATGTATACAGCGTAATGATTCAATATTTGTGTATGTTGCAAAATGTGTCACAGTAAATCTAGTTAACATCATATACAGGTACAAATTTTTTTCTTGTGATGAGAACTTTTAAGATGTACTCTCCTAACAATTTTCAAATATGCAGTACATTATTATTATCTATAGTTACCATGCTTATTTATTTATAACTGGAAGTTTGTACCTTTTGACCCCCTTGACCCATTTTGCCCACTCCTTACCCTCTGCCTCTGGCAACTGTCAGTCTCTTCTATGTATCTATGAGTGCTTTTCTTTTTTTATTTTCTTTTTTCATGATTCTCTATATAAGTGAGGTAGTAAGGTATTTGTTTCTCTCTAGCTGACTTAGTTCACTTAGCATAATGCCATCAGGGTCCTTCCATGTTGTTGCAAATGACAAGATGCCCTTTTTTATAACTGAATGATATTCCATTGTGTGTATAACATCTTCTTTATCCATTCATATGTTGATGGACCCTTAGGTTGTTCCCAGGACTTAGCTTTTGTAAATAATGCTGCAGTGAGCATGGGGGTACGTATATCTTTTTGAGTTAGTGTTTTTGTTCCTTTCAGAAAAATACCCAAAAGTGGAATTGCCGGATCACATGGTAGTCCTATTTTTAATTTTCTGAGGAACCTCCGTACTGTTTTCCACAGTGGCTGTTTCAATTTATATTCCCACCAACAGTGCACAAGGGTTCCCTTTTCTCCACATCTTCCCCAACACTCATTATTTCTTGTCTTTTTGATAATAGTCATTCTAACAGGTGCAAAGCGATACTTCATTGTGGTTTTGATTTGCATTTCCCTGATGATTAGTGATGTGGAGCACCTTTTTGTGTACCTGTTGGCCATCTGTATGTCTTCTTTGGAAAAATACTTATTCAGAACGTCTGCCCATTTTTAAATCAGATTGTTTTTTGCTATTGAGTTGTATGAGTTCTTTATATATTTTGGATATTAACCTCTTATCAAATTTGTAAATATTTTCTCCCATTCCATAGGTTGTATTTTCCTTTTGTTAATGGTTTCCTTTGCTGGGTAGAAGTGTTTAACTTTGATGTATTCCCAGTTGTTTAGTTTTCCTCTTGTTGCCTTTACTTTGGTGTCAAATCCAAAAAAATCATTTCTGAGAGCTTATGTTTTCTTCTCAGTTTTATGGTTTCTGGTCTGTAATCCACTTGAGTTAATTTTTTTATATAGTATAAGTCCAGTTTCATTCTTTTGCATGTAGCTGTCCAGTTTTCCCAGCACCATTTACTGAAGAGACTGTCTTTTCTCCATTGTATATTCTTGGCTTCTTTGTCATAGGTTAATTGAACATATATCCATGGATTTATTTCTGGGCTCTCTATTCTGTTCCACTGACCTATGTATAATTTTCTTTTAAACTGCCTGGAAGTGACAGTCATATCACCCTGTCAAACCAATTAAGTCTGAATGTCTTCTAAGTGTCTTTGAAAGATACTAAAACAAAATATTTTCTCAGTGAATTCTGTGATGTAGAGTAAGAGTGGAGAAGGTTTAGTGTGTTGAAATCTGAGCACATCCCACTCTGTTGTTTCTTTCACTGGTGGCAAAATGGAAGGAGTAAGGCCTAAGTGTGATCTTTCCTGTGAGACTCAGTGAAGCTTTGAGCTGCTTAAAGAAGTATCAGTTTCCTATAGATGGGAGAATAGTATCACAGCCTTTTTTCTACCGACTTTGTCCAATTTCCAGTTCCCTATCTAATTTCATTTATTTCCCCTGAAATACTGTTTTCTAGTTATGACCGAACTAATGGTAACTCAGGGAGGTTTATATTTCATTTAAATATGGTCCACTCTTGGGAATATCTCTCTTTTTCCTGACTGTCCCAAACCACTCAGAAATCTGGATTAGAGCCAGCCCAGCCCAGCAATATAAGAGTCAGTAGCTCTAGAGATGATGGGAAGTTGAAGTGGATTCTGTATTCTGAATAAACAGGTGCTAATAGGCCTGAAGCTAAGAAAGCCAGGTTTAATAGTCTGTATCTGTGGGGAAGACAGATGAGTCCGTGGCTTTTGGATTTACCACAAAGCTAGGTATAAAGCTCTATAAAGAGAGACTTCACCAGATAATTTAAATTTCTTAATGTGCCCAGAATTTAGTTGTATTTTTTTTCTTCCCTTTTGTCAGTGTAGTGAGGCATTTCGATAAAAATTGTTTTAATGTATGGTTATTCTGATGGCTATAATACAGTAAACTAGTAGTTTCAATGCCAATTTCAAACAAGCATCAACTATTAGGATTTAAAACAATCATCCAGAGTACCAACGGCCGGATTTAAAACAATCAACCAAAGTACCGACAGCCAGATCTCATCCAGGCTACTTAAATTAGAATCCTTGAGGTTTGAGTCAAAGATTTTTATGTTTATTTAAAGCACCCCAAGTGAGTTTAATATATAGCTAGGGTTGACAACCACTGATACAAAGAAGTAGGCAATTAGGAGTAAATTTTCTTTCTCCCTTCAGTAGTTCATTTACTGGAAGTCACTGTTCCAGATGGTTAATCTTGTTCATGGCATTAGAGATTTGTATTACTTCTGAATACAATACATTCACATTGTTGAATAATTGTAATTTATACAGGATACCAAGAGGGATATATCTGCAGTTTTGAAATAAACATTAGCAGTTACCACTTGATTAAAAGTTATAAAAGGAATACATGTTGCTTATAACATTTCAAAGTAAAATGCCAAAATTTCCCATCAGTTCCCCATGTACCTTTTCCCTCAGAGGAATAGAAATCTAAGGTCATTCATTATGTTCTCTGGTATTTCCCTTACGTTATATCTTGCCTAAAATTTAGCTTTGAACTAATCAAAGCTGTAGGAAAGATCTAAAGGCAAGTGGGTTTGTTGACCATCAGAGCAGAAGCTATGGTGGAGTCACTGGTCGGCTCAAAGGTACTGTCACATAACTCCCAGGTGATACTGTTTCTCTTTCCTCTGAAGTAAAGTATGCAAGGCTGAGTTAAATAGAAGGAAGACCCTCATTTCATCCAGTCTTGACAGTTTAGCCTCTTTAAAGCTCCCAACTCTGTACCTTTCTTTATTTTTTATTTCAATGACTTCACCTTTTTTTTCACTTGCTGTTTTGCAAAAGCCTCACTTAGAGTTCATTGCGTGATTTTCTGCTGTTGAAGAAACTATGTGAAAGGGGAGTTTTTTGCCTGGCAGTTTGTGTGGGTAACTTTGTTTCAATGTGTGGATAATCTGCCTTGCCACTTCTACGCCTAGGGGAAAAATTATTTCAGGCGCACCCTACCCTGAATTCTGTGGTGGTCCCAGTATTGTCAGTGGTAGATACTAAAGAAGAACTTCTTTAAGTTTTGCACCTTTTCAGAAAACAAGTGCAGTTGCCTCATTACATTGAGTTTTTCTAGGAATGAAGCCAAGAGGGATGAAAGAAGCTGTCTCTACTCCATCACAAGTGGCCCACAGAGATCAAGAATGGTATGATGCTGAAATTGCCAGAAAACTGCAAGAGGAGGAAATTTTGGTGAGCAAATTTTCATGCAAAAGTTTAGGTGATAATCACTAGGTTTTCTTGAATTGAATCATTCTTGAGATTATGTAATAGGCATAATGAACCTTTATGAGTTGAGAAGCTGGTATCTTTTTTTATGGGTGGAAAAATCCACACAATGGGAATAGACTGTCCAGTTTCACTTACTGAGTAAGCATTAGCAACAGAATTCCATATCCCTCTCTCTCTGTTATTGAGTTCAGATAATCCTTTAGTAATCTGCTTTGGAATTTGATAAAAATAGCCCCTGCTCTGGCTGGTGAAAGTATACCAACTAAACTTGAGGGATGTTAACTACAACTGGTTTGAAATACCGGTTTATTTTTTGGAAGGTTTTTTTTTAAGATTTTATTTATTTATTTGACAGAGACACAGTGTGAGAGAGAGAGAGAACACAAGCAGGGGGAGTGGGAGAGGGAGAAGCAGGCTTCCCGCTGAGCAGGGAGCCCGATGCGGGGCTTGATCCCAGGACCCTGGGGTCATGACCTGAGCCGAAGGCAGATGCTTAATGACTGAGCCACCCAGGTCGCCCCTTTATGGAAGACTTTTTAAAATGGACAGCACAAATGGACAGCACAGATTCTAATTAAATTACTCTTTTGTGTATTTTCTATACCCTAGGCTACCCAGGTGGACGTGAGAGCAGCTCAAGTAGCGCAGGATGAGGTGAGTTCATATTAGTTAATAAGTCTGTTTAGCCAGTACTCTTTAGAAATATCCCAGGAGTTTTTGCCCACAACTCTGCAGTCAATGGTATTGACTGGATTTTGTTTAGGAAATCGCTAGACTTCTCATGGCTGAAGAAAAGAAAGCTTACAAGAAGGTCAAGGAGCGGGAGAAATCGTCTTTGGACAAAAGGAAGCATGACCCTGATTGGAAGGTAAGTTCTGTTTATTGTTTTTCTGATTTTTATAATGGGGACTTTGCTTTTAGGATAAGTTCTGCGACTGTATTTAGGGTATACAAATTCTCTATTGCGTATATGAATCTAATTTGTAAAAGTGACTTCATTACAAAAAATCGTAATTCTTCAAAGTAACTGTGAAAAGATAACTGCTAAGATTGAAAACTCATTCCATTGATTTTAAGATCAGTTGAGGTGCAGGTGCCTCTGGTCATGAGCAATCTTAGTTTTACTAATATTTACCTTACAGGAGAATATAGTATTTTCACATGCTTTCCTATTTCTCCAGTGGCCTTTTCTTTCTCTTTCTCCTTTCTCTGTGTGCTTATATTGTCCATCCATGATCACATACCCATTATTTCTCTTTCCTCTGACATAACTTGATCCATGGCAGACTGGTAGATACCACCAGCAACCATTGCTTATGTCAGAGAGTAGGAACTGTCTAGCAAGAGCCTGGACTGTCGTCTTCCCCTCATTAATCAGAAACACTAGACAAAATAGTGACTGCAGTTTATTCTGCTGTAAAGTAATGTAATTATTGTACGTGGTGGTTGCACGTCCAGTTTCACGGACTTGACTCTTTAGTTACTGTGTGCAGTGCACCACTCTGGACTTAACAGGGACGGTCAAAGATATATTTTCCTCATAATACTGTATAATGTAGGAGGACAAACAGGACAGTGTAGACAGCTAACAAATACAAGGTCAAGCTGGCTGAAGAAAGCAGAGTAGAAGAAGAGCAGAGTTGCAGGGAGGAAGAATTCCTAAGGTAAAGGGTTTTCAGAGAGGGAATTTGTACTAGGCCTGGGAGGATGCAGCTAGGCTGTGTATTCGTGACGTAGTGATGTTTAGCACTGTTCTCTCTTTCTCTCTCTTTCGAACAAATTCCTCCCTTGGGTCTCTGGTTCTGTCTCAGTTTCAGCACTGATTAGGAGGAAAAAGAGGACTTAGAAACCATGATAATAGCATTGCTCTACTGTTTCCTGCTGCTCAGTTATTCAGTTGTCAGTCTGAAAACAAATGAAAGCATTATTAATTATGTATAGGTCTCTCTTTCTTTTACCCTCTTAGTAATTCAGGATTTTTCTTAACAAATGTATTTCATTTTAGTAGAAGGGCTCCCATATGCTTCTGCTATATAAGTTAAGCTACAAATAATTGCCTGGGAGTTACTCAATTCTTTGTTAGCTCAACCATGAAGAAGTTAAGTATTTTTAAGAATTGCAAATCAGGCAAATAAAAGGGGAAAGCCACATTTCTAGCAAGTATCAAGACTTCTTTAATTTCTACATTCTGTAATTGGTGCTGGTATAGTTCTTCTCTTAGAAAGGTTGGATTGAATGTTCCTTAGTTTCCTGGCTTGAAAATCGCCATCCCCAAGTCAGATGTTCAGAAATAAGTTTAAGAGCACAGACCTACATTCCGTAGACTCGGGAAGTTCTTGTCAGCTGCTGCGCAGCTATTATGTTAATAATGGGTAGCTGGCACACTGCTGTTGGGGAGCATGTTCATGTGTAGTTAGCCCACTGATCTGGCTGCCCTGACCGCTTCCAGTGTACGTATGTGACTATAATTTTTTTTTTAATCTCTGAGTGGCCATGTGTAAAAATACTGTAGGTTGTTTAACTGAATATAAGTGTAAGTTGAAATTACTAGAGTTTGACATGATTTAGATATTTTCTAAACCTAACAATCTTTCTGTTTATTTGCCGTTTTCTATATGTGTGTTTTTCTTTCTCTCTCTTTTTTTTTTTTTTCTGTCCTTAGCCAAAAACAACTAAATCGGCACACTCAAAGTCAAAAGAGAGTGATGACCCTCACCGTTCTAAGAATGACAGGCCAGCACGGTAAGATGCCACCTGAAAAGGGGAGTGAGGAACTTGACTTTGGGGTGAGTAAGGAGATGTGGATTGTCTGAGAAGAGTGTTCTTTAGAGAGGAGATCCAGATGTCGGCAGTTGTAAAGTGATATCAAGTCTTGCAGGATTATTCTCAAACTTTGTTTCCATTCTTAACCTGGATCGAACAAGTCAAATCAGGAAGATTGTAATTTTATAGAACCTAGGGCGTATAAAGAATGATGTGTTTTTTGTTAGGACCAATTCTTGTCTTTGGATTCACTGTCCTCAGCTAAGGAGGGATGAGCTTAACCATTTTCCCAGTAAAATCTCAGGTTTTAAAGTTCAAAGTTTTACCTATGCAGGGCTGGAGTTTCATGGTCACGCTGGTGTGTGCATGACATTTACACATGCTTAAATTAGTTTCTGCATTCTCAAAGTCTTGGCAAACACTTATTTGAGGACATGGTAGACTATTCTAAATCCCACTAGATCAAATAGCTGTGGTTATGGTGTATGTACTTTCAGACTTCTCTCAAACAGTCTGGGGTCATAGTTCATGGAGCAGTTGCTGTCTTTCTACCTCATACCTGAAGTTGGCAATATTTAAGTCTCTGGGGAAGCAATCCTTTTTTTTTTTTTCTTTCTTTTTGTTCTTTATTGCTTTCCGTTGCTTTTCAAAACAAAACTTGACTGGAATAGAAAGAATATTATATACAAAAAGACAAAAGTAACACTAAATTTAACATTTGAAAACTCTTTTAAAACTTTGAATATTGGTCCTAATTATTAATTTATGTATTAACTTTTATCACATTGGAAAATATACACTGTTGCCACTCATTGCCCACACTTAAGCTGCTAGACGTGTTGACTTAAAGTGAATATATGTAGGGTCCTTAAAAGGCCAAATTCTTTTGGGATGCCTGGGTGGCTCAGTCAGTTAAACATCTGACTGTTGATCTCAGCTCAGGTCTTGATCTCAGGGTCATGAGTTCAAGCCCCACATTGGCTCCTCCACGCCCACCTACTTAAAAAAAAAAAAAAAAAAAAAAAACTGTATTCTATTTTTAAACCCATGGGCTTTTAGAAGATAATATCCTTCAGAAAACTACATCAGGTTTGTAAGGCTCTTAGGGCAACAGTAGTATATTCTGTCAGTTGTTTAAAGTTGGTTCTTGTATCTTTTAGTTAAGCACATGGCCAAAGGTTTTTTTTAAGGCCGACTTTATTTTCATCCCTGCAATATCCAAGTAAAGTAAGAAGTAATTAATCTCTTCTCAGTATAGGCATGGTTTATTATGTTTTCTTTAGTCAACTGAATTAAAATAATCTTTTGGGTTTTTCCGAGTCTTCCAAATTTTGGGGCTCTTTAGAACACTAATAATTTTGACATCAGATATGATAGACCAATCTGGGATGTCTATCTAAAAAGATGTATTAAAGTTGAAAACAAGTTTCTGAAATGTAATAGTTAACTTTAAAAATATTTGGCATATTGAAGAGTGAATAATCAAATGAGCCTATATTAAAAATAGCTATTATAAATGAGTGAAAGTGACCTATGACTGGTAGAACTGAAGTCTTTTTTGACTTGAAGGGAACACTTGTCTTTATCAGTTACAGAAAGAAAAGTCAAAAATACCATATCATTTGTTATGCTCACATTAATTATGTATTATATATGTATAACAAAAGGATGAAAAAATAAAAAAAAATAAGCCAAATACCGTTTGCAAGTATAAGATACACACGTGTGTGTGTGTGTGTGTAGTCTTGAATGCAGATACTGCTGCTGATAAAAATACACACCTGTGTAGCACAGCAGAGTGTAGTAAAGAGCACACTGATTTTGAAGTGCAGTTGAGTTTGAGCCCCACCCCTGCCACCTAACAACTGTCTGAGCTTGGACAGATCACTTACCTCCTCTAACCTAATCTCCCTCTAAAATATGTGTGTGATACCTGCCCTACAGACTTGTACTGAAAGTTAATTGAGATCATCTGAGTAGAACCCACAGCACAGTCCTCAGTATATACACAAGTTTACATCCTGTGCTGACCTGTGTCAGACTCCAGATACCCAGCAAGAGACCTGGTGCTTAGGGACTGAGTGGGAGATTTAAAATCACTTGTCTTTATTCTTATATGACAGAGCCCTTTGTACCAAACTCACCATAACTTTCTGAACTGCAGTATACTGACGCCTTCCACATGGCATATATGGTTACAAAAAACATCCTACCACGTGGTTATATATTTGATGTATTCTGTTACCTCATCTGGTTCCATGCTTTAATGCAACATTTAAGTGTACCTCTGAGAAACAACAACCAAAAAAAGGATTTTGTTCTTATCTTCATCAGTGCCAAATGTTTGCAAGAAAATCTCTGTAACATGATTTTAAAATAATTAAAATTTTGGAGTAGCAAAAATTCCCCAGTGTTTTTTACATTTTGTCTTCTTTTGACATGAAAAGTTGCCAATGTAGGACTGTCCTTTCCTTCTCTAAGCTCTGCTTTGCCACCTAGTGGATTGAGCGACTTTGCTCTAGATTTTATATGCTGACCCATGTCTTCTCCCTCCCCTTTCCTTTTTTCCTGTCCTCCTGCTACCCTCACCCTCTCTCCATTTTTCTTTCTTCCTTTCTTAACTTTCTTTATTACTTCCCTTCTATCCTTTTCTTTTTTCTTCATAAAACCTACCAAAACAAAGTCGATTTCTCATTAATGGCAGTGGTCACACATCTCATTTATGTTTGTTTCTCTAGTCCTTAGCACAGTGCCTCACACATATTAGGTGCTCAGAAAATACTTGTTTTTATTGAATTATGTGCATCAAAGCAAAGGAACAGTAAAATAAAATAATTTATTCAAGGTCCCGCAGTAGACAAGGAACTAAGATGAGAATTCTCCTACACTGTAGCTTTGCATTTCTACCAAAATGTTTTACCATGTATTCCAATGAGAGGTGGAGTTGTGGTCACCACTTATTAGAATATCTCTTTAAATTCTGACTTCCCTTCAGGCCACCACCACCTACCATGACAGAGGCTGAAGATTTGGATTACACTCATTTTACAAACCATAATTCCACACGTCATTTCTCAAAATCAGAATCCTCCCATAAAGGTAAGAAAAATATATATGATCAAGCTTAGGATTTTTTTTAATAATCCTCATGCTATGCTGGAAATATCAGATGATATCTTATAGATTGCTAGAGTGGCAAAATAAGTTATCCTTCCTTTTGGAAGATTATTACAGTATTCTTCATTTGTTAAAAAAAAAAAAAGATAAAACAGGAAACAAAACACCTTAACCTGAATGCAAGATTGTATATGTATGTGCATTTTCCTCCAGGGAGAATTTGTAGCTTTCATCAGATTGTTAAAAGGGTGACTGTAAACAAAACAAAGGAGCAAAGGGAAAAGAAAAAAAGAGAGTCAAACCAAGAAAACAGACTCTTAACTATAGAGAATAAAGTGATGGTTATCAGAAAGGAGGGGCAAGGGGGGGATGGGTGAAATAGGTGATTGGGATTAAGGAGGGCACTTGTGATGAACTCCAGGTGCTATGTAGAGAAGTGTTGAATCACTATACTGTACACCTGAAACTAATATTACACTGTATGTTAATAACTAACTGGAATTTAGATAAAAAGTTAAAAAAAAGAAAAATTAAAAAATAAAAAATAAAGTACCTACATACATACATGTACAATTCACACAAAAGTTTTATCACACGAAAGAAAATCAGGGCAAAGGAGATGAGGAAAGAATATGAAGTCTAAGTTGGACCAAATCTTTATTGTATTGTATTGTATTTCATTTTGTTTTATATGTACCAAATCTTTAAAATGAAAGGAATAGATAGGTGAGATTCAGTGGGGTGGAGTCCGGAGCCAACTACTAAGAAGACGTCTTTGGTGCAAAATGGTGGTTTATTAAAGCATGGGGTCAGGACCCATGGGCAGAAAGAGCTGCTGCACAGGGGTTGTGAGGGGTGACTGATTATATACTATGGTGTTGGGGGAGGTAAGGAAAAGGGAGGTTTCAGGAGAATTTTCATCTGCTAAGGAGGACCTACAAGATACCAAGATACCAAGATACCGGAGGCCTTGCCATTGTCAAGTTAATGTTGTTTTTCACCTCTAGCAAGGCATTAACATTAAGATTAGGAGATTCCTGGAAGAATGTCACACATGTCCCACTCAGGAGTGGGGGGGTGGGGGAGGTTGTAGGTTGTCCGCTTATGTTTTGTCTTCAGCCAGCCTTCTGTTGCCTCATCAGTTGCATGTAGCTGTTCTTCCAAGCATACACAAATTCACTTATGTGTATTTTTATGATACTCATAAAATGAAATAATGAAAAGGTAATTCTTATATTAATTTTTTCATCTAAAAATGGAAGTGATTTTAATAGTGTCAGTGTTGTCAGGATCATATAAATTAAATACATGAAAGCACATTGCAATAGACTTTACAAATAGTGGGTCCTGTAAATTGATGTCTGTTGTTTGTTACAGCTTTTGAAGATTTCTTAGGTCATGTTTTTATTATCCTTTTCCAAGTCTTCCCAAACTTAATTTTTTTTTTCCAGTGGTCATTACAGAATATCAATGTACAGAGCTACTCCAGACTGACTAGATCAGAATTTCCAGGGGAGGGAGGTTGCCAAGCATTTATATTTTTTTAGAAAGCTCTCCTCACCCCAACCCTCTCCATTCAGACATTCATCCAGTGTTGATCCGACAAAAGACATTATGTAAAAGATGGAATTAGTTGGACATTACCAAAACAACCCCATACACTACAATTTCCATCAGTTGGTGGACTTTCCATCATGGCTGGCTTAACTGGAAGTATCTCATGATTTTTTTCCCTCAAATTGATGCACTACTTTTTAGGGGAGGCCCTTTGTCTTTGACATACATTTGATATATAATACTGAAATAACACAGCGACTCTGTATGTAAATATTTTACAGTAAAGAACAAAGAAAACATGCATAGAAATAAAGATAAATGATTTTGCCTGAGCAAGGAGAAAGCAGAGCATTTCTGAGGTTTTTCTTTAATGATGTTTCTTCTTCTTTTCTCCTTTCCAAGGTTTCCATCATAAGCAGTAAAACCCTAGGAATCTGCCTTGAGAACGGACTCACTGTAGCAATCATTACTGGATGATATAGAATGCGTTCCACACTCATTTTTTTCCCTCCTGTGTTTGTATTCCTGGGATTTATCTTCAAGTGTTCTTCTGGCCGTAAATAATTTTAATTCATTTAAAAAGTTTTGGTTATTCCTGATCACTTGGGCAGTACAAGAAAATCTAGCTTCTGAATATTGGCCACCTCTCTGCTGCATATGCTTCCTGGGATATAGTATCTAAAAGCTCTGTAAAATGTCATTTTTGTTAGGTGTGGAGTACTGGTATCTAGAGACTAGGCTTTATTTAGCAGTTAGAATTTTGTGGAGATTATGATCAGAGTAAAACAATGTTTGGATGCAATACAGAATAAAAGAATATAAGAAATAGCTTTTTTTCGTGCGTTAGTATATGGTATATTGAAGGATCTTTTGCTTTTTGTATTCTTCAAGAAAATAAAAAAAATGACAACCATAAAGTATTAAAACAAACAAACAAAACCTGGAACAGTTGGAACATGTTTTTGACCACCAGGACTAGCAGTTTTGCATATCCTTATAAGCTCTCCTGGGAGAATTGGCCCAGATGTCATTCTCTGACACTTTCTCTGCTTCTGCTGAAGAGCAAATCTTTTGGAGGCCTCTGGGCACTGGGCTATTTATTAGTATTTATTGGCAAAAGTTTAATTCTATGAACTATTAACTCAGGTCTGTGCAAAGTCAACTGAAAGTGAAAAAGTGAAAAACTTTGTACCCCTTCTCTTCTATTACATTTACATATAGAGCCCAGGGAAGTGGAATTGGAAGGATGTTTATATAAGTGATAATGCCAGCATTCTCTCTGGACATAGATAAGTTTTCCTCTTACTTAAAAAACAGTGGTGTTTGTTGGCAGCCACTCAAAAAATATTTTATCTGTCAGTAATCAGATTAATTCAACATGAAGTTGAAGTAGAGAAAATGGTTCTTTACCCGGGTATTGGCTTTACATATTCATTAGTGATACATGGCATTGGATTCCTTTGTACAGGACCTTTAAAGCCCTCTTTGAGAAATCTTGTCTTTGTCCAGCCCTTAACCTTGTGGAAATGCTTATTTTCCCATACTTGTTAGTTAACATAAATGGCAGTCACACTACACATATATAAAAATGTCCCTTCGGCTTGACTTTCCATTATTTTTCATTGTATAAATCTGATGTTTTTGACATTCCAGTGTAGTGTTTGTTTAGGAAAGAAATACGCAGATGACTAGAGAAAAAGGTTGTTAATCCATTCTTTTCCCACTGGGAACTGCCTATTGTTTGCCTTATCTTTCGGGATAGTCTTTCAAGTCAGGCAATATTCAGGAAGCTATTTAGAATAGTTTCTCAGAGTGGATTTGGGTCCTTTCATTTTGAGAAAGATCTTTAGTTCATAACGTTTTTGGATTGCAGAAACTTGGGTAAAAGGTTGCTAAGAGTCAAGTTTTAGGGAAATGATCATCTAGAAAGAAAGAAACCCTAAAAGATGAGTCATTTTTAAGAAATGGGGAAAGAGAAAAACAAACAGGACTTTGAATGACGCTGATGAAATGAATGAAGCAGAGTTAAGTAAGCAAGGGCTGATGAGATGGAGGTCCTAGCCTTAGTCACATTCTATAGGGTGCTTTCAGTATCCAAAACTTAGGCCTTGTTGACTTCTAGTAATGCTATGTTTTTCTTTGTCTGCCCTGTGATTTTGCTTCATATTTTAAAAAGTTTTTTTGTGGTAACTTTAAAGAAAACACAATGTATTTTTATTTTGATAGGCAAATGGGCAACATCATTTGCCATATTTTTATTTCATAAATGTTTATTTTTCTATCATGCAGTGATCAGATTTATTTACTTTAAAAATTCTGCATTTGTCTTGCTTCTCATGTACTTTATCCAATCATATTTATTACTGTAAAATGCTATCTGGAGGTATTTTCATTCAAAAAAATGTGAGGCCATTTAACATTTAAGCCTTGGATGTTAGTGTTTCAGCTGTCTTAGTGAGCGGCCAGAGGTGATGTAGTTCCCTGTGACACCCAATTCAACATCTGTATTGAAAATCTGTTACTTTTTTTTTTTAGGTTTTTAAAAAATTAGAATTTTAAAATATTTTTATTTTTTTTGTAAAGCAAACACTTTTTAAAGAGTATCAGAGTAATTCTTTTCTTCTTCTTAGTTAAATCCTCTAATTCTCATTCAAATATTATAATTATTATCTTTAAGACTATAGAAGTAACTAACAACTATATTAAAAGGAACTGCCAAACATTCTTCACTGTGTTCTCTGCTTTTCACTTGGTTGTATTTCTATAAATGTGGGAACGTTTTGTTCCTCTTTATACCACTGGACCACACACAATTTAATTTTTAGGCCCACAATGTATTATGCTTTAATGTTGTGATGTAAACTAATATGCTGGCCTTGGCAATCTTTCTGTACTTCTTTTCTCTGGAGGCCCCATTAACACTAGTATTGCTGAATGAGCACAGTATGTTTTGAGCCTTATCATAAGGCTTCTGGATGTGTACACCCTCTTCCCCCAACCTAACTTTTTGTAATTCATTGCTTGGAAGCAAGGTCCGACAAGGGTCAGATTAAATGTTCTGAGTTGAAAAAAATTTGTAGTGTGAAACCATTGTTAGACATAATTATTTTGCAGGAGACTGGACAGTTGCTACATATGCTTTGAAAGAATATTGAGATTTTTAGAAAGTGACTTTGCATACCTTTGAATTACTTTTTCTTGAGTGACTTTACAACAACCAGCAACAGACTAACGAACTTCAAAAAAGGCATAGGTTTTTGATCATAGAGAAACATCTAAATTAGAAAAGAAAATATGGATAGATGTTTCCCAGGAGGAAAACCTTTTCACATTTGCAGCGGCCACTTGGATCTCCATCAACATTTTCCAAGGTGACCTTGGGCCTTGTGTTCCACTGAACTCACTCTAGAAAATTGTGAACCGGACCTGTTTTCCCCTTTCCTTCTCTACTATGGTCTGCAGCCGAACTGGATGGTGAATAAAGTCATTGCTGACTCTGTCCACACATTTCCATTGATGTCAGGACTTTTCAGTATAAATATAATTAACTTTTAATGGATAATTATTTTCTTCAATACTGTCAGATATTCTCTAATTTTTGTCTTGTGCCAAATTGTTCTTTGGAAACACCTGCTATATAATATGGTGCATTCAGTTTACCACATCAGTGGTTAACATTTTAGGGCCTTGATTTTTAATGGGTGTTGCCTTTGTATAAAAATCACTTTGGGGAATATCAGGATTAGTCATTTATTCAGTGATGGTTTTTTTGAAAGATAACTGGTGACTGGACGTAAGAGCTTCCCTCTCAATAAGGGGAGTGAGACCCCCGTGTAATCAGCTTTCCGAGGGACTGAGAACAGAATAGAACTTGCACTGAAAGGCTTTTTTTCCCTTTTGGGGAAACAGTATTTGTGTGAAAGGAACACCGTTCAGGTAGATTTCACTGCAGGTGGTGTGCCATATTCTCATAATGCAGGCTTTTTAGAAACAATCATAAAATAACCAAAACCTGGTCTTTCAGCCAAAAGGAAAAAAACAGATTTTTAAAGTACTTTGTCCCTTACTTACTGCTCATAGTCAGAGAAGCGACTAGATAAAGTGGTCCCATTTTCTCCTCATATCTGGTGGTGCCTGTGAGTCTTAAAGCCATAACTGCTTATCTTACTGTTGATAGAATCCTGTTTTTCTCCTTTAGCTTACAGGGAATGTGGTCAGGGAGAAGCGAACTGGAGACTGTTCTGATAATGCTGCACGGGGCACAGTGTCACCCAGATTCCTGGTCAGAGAATCTCATTTATCTCTGATGATACTTAGGATTATTAAAGGGGAGAGTCAAGGCTTTTGTTGCTCCTGACATTTAACTGTTGTTAGAAATGCTGCAGTTTTCTTCCAGAGAGGTCAAAAAGGAAGGGGTAAACTGGGAAAATTTTACTTCTTACAGAGTCACTTTTCTGATGAGGCTTGCACTTTTTGCCAGCAGTGTCTCGAGGAGCAGTATTGCCTTAAATTAGTTTGATTCTGACCGAGTCAGTGCACTGTACTTCCTATATGTGAATGACCGTCAACTCTCCATTGAGATACACAATTCACTGGTGATCCGCAAACATCCTTGCCATCAGAAACTCTGGATTCCCTCCCACTGAGCTATGGGTGACCTATACACTGATAGATACATCATTTCATTGAGTTGCCTCTCAGTCTGTGAACGAGCAGTGGCATGGCCAAAACAGGCTGGCGGAAGGAGAGTGAGAATTCCCTTGCCAGATGCTCCCGGTTATCACTTCCTGAATAGAGAGTTGACTGTCTTTCTGTTCAAAGTGACCATGTAGAAGATACTTCCAAAGGCTGTATTGTGTAGCAAAGTCAATTATTGTTTTGTGAGGATTTCACCAACCCTCTTGTGTTTTTAAATGCATACCATTGACAAAAAAAAAAGAAAAAAGAAAACCAAACGAAACAGAGACATTTACTTGAAATGGGAGCTCCTTAGATGTGAAGAATGTTTCTATTTTATTACTTTTAGAAGAAAATTAACCAGGAAAATTTTTGCTGTGGTAAGGAAAACACCAGAGTGTTTTTATAAGGTTGTGTTTGATGCCATAAATTGACAGAATCATCTAAGTAATCATGTTGATTTGTTGGAAATATCTAGTGCTGGAAACCATCTTCTTCCCTTCTGTATCTGTGAATACTGCCTAGGAGCATGTTCCTAATGCATTTTATATGCTATTGTTTATTCTTGGCAAACTAGAGGATGGGTTTCTCCTTTTGAATAACTTGCAATAGCAAAGTGAGCCGGCACTGCCAGCATTTCAGATGAGGACCGAATTAATTAGGCATTTTAGTTAGTGCCCCATTACTCATTGCTGAGGTTCATATAGAAAGAAGAGGAGAATTGAAAGACAGGGTTCTTGAGGGACATGTCCTTCACAAAAGAGCAAGGACTAAGAGCAGTAAAAAGACAGCTAAGAGAATATACCATTACACATTGCATACTTAGGCTATATTTTTGTTGCAGTGAATTTCAGACCATAATTGCTAAAATAGTTTCTAGCTATTAAATTTAGTAAGAGGGTTTTTGATGTCAGAATTTTTTTTTATTTCTGATTGAATTAGCCCCTGAAATCACTGAATTAGCCCCTGAAACTTTAGCTCTTGCTATAAACTGAAAGCCAAATGCCCTTTTTCAGAAGTAGCTAGATTTTTCACCTGCCTCTTAAAGACAGCCCAATATTTGTTTCATGAAGTATTATAAATAATGAGGAGATACAGTGGGAAGGTAGCATATAGGTGTTCCACAATAAGAATTCTCTATAATAGGGTTTTCCTTAAAAAGAATCCATCCCAGAACAACATTATATTTTGAAAAGGTGCTGGATTATAAAGTACAGGAGTATGCACATATAAATCAAGTTGCTCAGGAAATGAGAGGTGGTGCTGTCATTTGTCTTAAAATTCAGAAAAGTGCTTTCCTGAGAAAAATTGCATAGTGCCCAGGCAGTTTTGGATTCTTTGGTAAGAAGCCCTTTGGCATCTGGAATGTGGATATGTTTAAAAAATGAGTGAGATGTTAACCCAAGTGCTCATCAACTTGTAGCCGAGCCCCAGAAGGAAAGGCAGCTTTGAAATAGCTACTTCATGGAACTGAACAGAACCTTGATGGAATCCAGTTGTCTGTCTGAGGACAGAAAACAAAGAGGCCACCTCAAACCACATGCCTATTTAGAGATTAGATGAAACTGTGAGGGACACTCTCTGGATGCCTTAAAGGTGACTGGTGTTGAGTACTGGTGGGTATGTACACACCCATCTGGACTAGGCTGATGGAAACCGTCTATTTCCGTTCACCTTCACACAGCACAAGTCGTTCCTGTTGATGACCTCATTGAGGAACACGAGAAACATGGTGCTGTTGACTTCCGTGTGTCTTGGGAGGTTGAGGTGGTCATGTCAGTCAGCACTCTCCAGTGCTCACGCCTCCCTTAAATGCCAGTTCTACATCTACATTAGTTCATCTATGCAAGCTTATGTTTTTATGGTTTGTTTTCTACACTCATGTCCCATTTGATTGTTTAAATATCAGGTTTAACATTAATATTATGAATAATTTTTAAACCAAAGTATGTATATGTCTGTGTGCTTGTTTTCCTGGATGGTTTGAGGCAAACACCAGTCTTGTCCTTCTCTCTTAATAAAGTCATCCATTTCTTAACAATGGTCTCATGTTTTCTTTACTGCATTCAAGACTTGGGAAGCTCTGGGAGGAGGAGTATTTTTTCTTTATGAAGTAACCCTAATAGATATTTGTTTAAAAACAGTAGAATTTTCTCTTACTCCAGTTGCATCCACATTCTGTAACCATGTATAGCACTGATGATGATATCTAGTACGTGGAAATTGTCAACAAATACTCTCAAATCTGATGCTGATACCTAGTACATTGAAGTCCTCAACAAGTATTCCTAAATCTGAAGTTGCTTAGAGAAGTGGCTTTGTTTTGTGTGTGGTGGTTGGTGTCTTAGTTTGATGTATGTGGGTGAAAAACAGGAGTGGATATTCACAGAATAATCTGTATGACTAAAGACTCCATGAGTGCAGCAACTCAAGTCTGCACTGTACCTGGTACTCTGTGGATTTTGAGAAAATAGATAGAAGTACAACTACCGCTAAACTTTTTATCTTTTTTTTTTTTTTTTTTTAAGATTTTATTTATTTGTCAGCACAAGCAGAGGGAACGTCAGGCAGAGGGGGAAGCAGGGTCCCCGCTGAGCCCGATGGGGCTGGATCTCAGGACCCTGGGATTATGATCTGAGCTGAAGGTAGTTGTTCAACCAACTGAGCCACCCAGGCGCCCCTAACTTTTTATCTTTACAAGTTTGTTTCTTCTTTTTTTTTTGATTGATTAGCCGTGATACGGAAACCGATGCTGCAGAAATTAGGAGGTATCTTGAAAATATGATCCTATTTTTCATGACTACTAAATTTTTAAAGAGATAACTAGCTTCCCTGGAGCACATTCTCTAGGCCTTAGTTTCTTCTCTGGCAAATATAATAGGAAATCTAAACAATCTCTGTAATATAGCTCTACTGATCTCACTACCAGATGCATAAGACACACCAGTGACATGCAGTGTTGAAGAAAGTTGGTATATTGATTTCAACCTTCCTTTTCTAAAGAATTGCTGGATCAAAGTTGACCGTGAAAGAAGTAGACATATCTACAGGCCAATTAAAAAAAATTAAATATGCAATTAAAGTAGCTCCTTTTGGTCTGCAGTAGGAGGAGGTACCCAGTATGATTGGGCGAATTTTGTGTAAAGTGGCTGAGTCTGATGTTAAACTGTGGCCATGTGTGGAGAGCTCGGCACACTAGAAAGCCCCCCCCCCCCTTTTTTTTTTAAGATTTTATTTGACAGCGACAGCGAGAGAGGGAACACAAGCAGGGGCAGGCAGAGGGAGAAGCAGGCTTCCCACTGAGCAGGGAGCCCGATTCGGGGCTCGATCCCAGGACCCTGGGATCATGACCTGAGCAGAAGGCAGACGCTTAACCAACTGAGCCACCCAGGCGCCCCTAGAAAGCCCCTTCTTAAAACACAGGCAGCCAGGAGAACATTCACCTCCTACACCTTGGAAATTGGGTGAAGTCTTTATAGAAGTCTTTGGATTACTACAAGTCACAGGGTAGGGGTAGGGATTTGGCTCCCCATTATATCTGGGTTACCTGCTTAAAGACATAAAGGCTTCAACATAGTGTACTAAATACATCAACAGGAATAAGGAGACCTGGGTGCTAGTCCTGGCTTTGAACTTGGTTCAGGACCTTGGGACACCACTTAACCATCTCTAACTCCGTTCTTTTACATAACAGTAATAAGCACATTGCAGCAGTCTAACATTCTAGAATTCCTGCTATCAAAGGCTACGGGTTCCTTTAAGTAAATGCCCCAGAAAGAGTAGCCCCATACAGTACTGAGGGCCTGGAAGGTCACAAGGGCTTCTTAAAACACTTGGCTGAAAGGCCTCCTATCTGGTCATGTGTTCTTTTAAAAACTTTTTTTATTTTTGATAAAACTGTATCGTGTACAATGATGTTCTGATGTGTGTATACATTGTGAAATGATTAGCACAGTGAAACTAACACAGCGTCAACTCCCTCATCCTTTGCTTTCGTGGGGCTGTGTGTGTTGGGGGTGGGTGGGGTGAGAGTGCTTGAGAGCTACTCTTAGCAAATTTAACGTATACAATACAGGATGATTAACCATAGTCACCAGGCCGTATGCTAGATCCCCCAAACTTAAACTGAAAGTTTGTACCCTTTGCTGACCATGCGTTCCTGGTTGTACTGTCCCATTGCTCTTACTTCCACAACCAGCAGATTGCCAAGAAACAATTTTGGTTTTGATTCTATTCTCTATTCTCTATTTCATTCATCTCCATTCGAATCTTAATTTAATTTTCTTCTTTCTAATAATTTTCAATGTAGTGGTGTTTTTTTTTTTTTTTCCCTAGCTCCACAAGATGTAAAGTTAGGTTATTGATTTGAGATCTTTCTTTTTAATACATGCATTTACAGTTATAAATTTCCCTCCGAGTATTGCCTTTGTTGCATCCCATAAGTTTTGTTATGTTGTATTTTTTGCTGTTTTTTTTTTCTTTTCTCCCTAAGTATATTCTAATTTCCCTTTTGATTTTTGTTTTGACCCATTAGTTGTATAAAGATGTGTTGCTTAATTTCCACATATTGTAAATATTCTTACTTTCTTCTCTTGATTTCCAGCTGTATTACTTTGCAATCAGAGAAGATACTTTGTACGATTTCAGTCTTTTAAAATTTATGTAGACCGTTTTATGGTCTGACATAGTTTCTCTGGGACAGCATTCCATGTGCACTTGAGAAGAATGGTATTTGGTTGTTGGATTGGGTGTTCTATATATTTGTTAGATCTGATTGGTTTACAGTGTTGTACAAGTGCACTATCTCCTTATCGATCTTCTACCTAGGTGTTGTATCCAAAGTGGTGTATTGAAGTCTCCAACTATGTATTTCCCCTTCAATTCTGTTAATGTTTGCTGTATTTATTTTGAGGCTCTGTTTGGTGCACATGTGTTTATAATTGTTATGTTTTCTTGATGAAATTGACCCTCCTATGTAATATCCTTCTTTGTCTCTTGTAGCAGTTTTTCACTTAAAGCCTATTTTTTCTGGTATCAGTATAGCCACTTAGCTCATTTTTCCTATCTTTTCACTTTCAACCTATTCATGCCATTATATTTACAGTGAGTCTCTTGTAGATAGCATATAGTTTCTTGTGAGTTTGTATGTCTTGTGAAAACTGGACAGTTGAATAATATGGTAACTCTGGACGTCATGTTCTTCCTTTTCCCCAGGGTCTTTGTTTTTATTTTACAGTTTGATTGTTGAAGGTTGTTGAAGGTCAACCTTCACTAGTCATTTGTCTAGTGACTTTTCCTTTTTTTTTTTTTTTATTAGAGATTGTATTCCCTTCATTTGTGGTCTCTATAGTCTCTGTTCCTTAGGTTTTGTTCATCTTGTGTTTGATGGAGATTTTCTTGAACACTAGAGGTAAGGAAAAGAATCTCTTTTAAGGTCTTTGCAGATTGGCTCTGTTCTGAAGCCTTCCTTTAACACTTAGCTGGATTTTCACTGAGCCTAAGGTCCATCTGAAGTCAAAGCTTAAGAAGAATATTTTCTGAGTATTCATTTTGCCTTGGACTTGTGCATGGCTTTCTAAATTTCCCCGTAAATATGGGTATTTTTTTTGTTTCTGTTTCACAAAGAAACTTTCTGCACGTTTCCCTCCTAAGACGTAAGCTGTCTGTTACATGTCTCAACTGTAATGTCTTGCCTCAGCTGTCTGCAAATTGTCCATTTACTTTTACAATGTTTTCAAATAATTCCCACTGCTTTTCTGTCCTCAGTGAGTTCCAAGTTAGAGAAAACAGAAATGAGCACCTTGCACCACACCTTCAGCGAATTCCCTAGTCAGGTTAGAACAGATGTGCAGATAAATCCTGCTCTGCTTCCTCTGGAACCAGGAATAGAGTCCCCCCAATGGAAAGGCAGGCTGCTGTCTTCAAGCCTGCTGCCCAGCCAGAGAGCGGATAGGGCAAACGCAAGCAAGACACTGAATGCTTTTCTACTGTGTTGAAGTTAAATTTTCGTGAATCTATGTTCACTTGGTTACTATAAGTCTTTGATTAAGTTCCAGAGTTCTGACAGTGTTGGTTCTGATGATTTCTGCTTGTGTTTTTTATATTTCTGTGGGGGGAATGGAAGCTTGGAGCTGTGTACTTGGTCACTTTACTTACATCACTCTTGGCAATTTCTTAGAAAGCAAATTGAGTCATTTTTTAGATCAGTGTTGAAAAATTCATTTCATTTTGTTTTCATAAATGAATCATGGAGTACTAGTTAGCCGACAAAAGGAATGAGGGAAATCTCAGCCATAGGCTGATCTCCAGGATATATTTTCAAACGAGAAAAGCAAGGGAGAGAAAGCATTAAAGTTTTCTACCACGTAGTTGTAAGAGGAGGGGAGGGGAAATGATGCTACTGTGTATGCATTTTTTTTATAACAAGTAAAATGGAATGTCAGCATTTTTGAAGTTAGCTCTAAGGAGGGAGGAGAAATACATGTGTAGGGGGGAGATGTAGAGCCCAGGCATGGTGGCATATACCTTATTTTGTAGATCTGATGTTAGAACCAGATACTTTAAATAATTTTGAAACAAAATTTTATACATTAAAAGGAAACTTTAAAAGTCAAAGTAAAATGAAACAATGAACTTAACTATACCCAGTTGGTACATAACCACACAGAGGGAACTATTTCAAATGATTTTATCTATATATGAATTTATATCTTCTCTCTTTCCACACACACACACACACACACACACACACATATTTTTTAGAGTTAATCTGAGATCATGACCTGAGCCAAAATCAAGAGTCAGATGCCCAACTGACTGAGCCACTCAGGCGCCCCCACGCATACATATTTTTAACAATATTTTCCACCATTTTTGTTCACTGAAAATGCCAAGAAACCTAGAAATAATGGATACCCTGGTAGCAATGAACATTTTTTCATACTCAAATCGTGGTCTTGAAATATTTCCTACCAAAAGAAAATAGACTTTCATAGAGATATGGCTAGTTTTAGGTGTGAGTTTAAATTTACAAGATAAAAC